CAGAGTGATAGATCACTTGCGATCAGTGAGGATCACTGATCGAGCGTGATCGCTTATCTTATCTATTCTGCTGGTCCTGACCGCCCGGGTCACCTGCCCCGCGGTACCATGCCTTGATTTCGTGACAAAGCGGTTAGGAAGATAAGATAGGCAGAAAATATATAGACCCTAGAATTGCTGTCTAAGTTAGTAATCCCTTACTATAGATTACTATACTCTATAGCAAGGACTTATAAAGGATTACTATAATCTATTATAATCTATTGTCTATATATATAGATATATATCTACCCTTAGATACCTACCCTAGATAGCTCTTTAGTATTTAAAGTATCTCATTTAATAAAGTACCTTTAAGTAAAGCTATCTTAGCTATAATCAACTACTAGTGCTTAGTAGCATCTATCACCTACTGCTTATATAAACCTACATACCTCCGGTTCTATAAAGTAGTTGTACCTCTTAGGATTAAGGATTGTTATAGTTAGTAATAAGCTCTGCTAAGTAATAGCTTTTAAAGACAACTAGCTTTATAATATTATTTAGAATGACTTTATAACTACTCTTATAATAGGTATATATATTATTATTAAATAGAGTAGAATTAAGGCTATCTAATAAGATATAGAAAGCCTAGATATCTATTATTAATAAGCTATAATTATAGTTTAAAAGTTTCTTATTAGTCCTAATAAGTGATTTAAGAACCACTTCTAGCTAATAAAGCCATAATTTAACTAGCTTATTTACTGGCTGTAAGATAATACTCCTCTAGCTAGTAGGTGTTAATTAATAGTAGAAGGCAAGATACTTTACTTTCTTTAGATCTATATAAATAATAGCTCTTAGAGAGCTATAGCCTATTAATTCTATATCTATTAGTCTATAGTATTACAAACTATAGCTAAGATCTTACCCTACTTTATTAAGCTTTATCTAGCTTTTATTAAGCTAAAGGTAGATAAATAGGTTGATTTAGATATTATAAGAAACCTTAAAATCAGGGCTTTTAAAGGATGTATTAGAGCTATAGATAGGATATATATTCTAATATATATTCTACTTAAAGCATAATATAGCTAGAGAGACTAAAAGAATAATATTAGTTAAAATATACTGACTACTATCTATATAGATAGCTACTTTAACTATATACTAGCTAGTATAGAGGGCTTAATAAATAATACTACTCTATTATTATAGGCTATAGACAGAAAGCTTTAAGTATTAGCTAATAAATATTATATAACTAATATAGGCTTTAGTAATTATTAGAGCTTTATAATACTCTTCTTAAATATCTAGTACTATCTTAAGGACTAGTAGAATATAGCTAACCTACTCTTAATATAGAAGAAGCTATATAATCTTTAGTATGTCTATATTAAGATTATTATTAAGCAGGCCTTTAGTATATTAAAGCATTAGTTTAAAATTATTTATAGTAGTATATCTAAATATTTAATTTAAGTATAGATAGATATTATCTATATAGTAATAGCCCTCTATAACTTTATTAAGATAAGTTATAAAGCTAAGAATAAAGAGGAGATAGTAGAGGCTTAAGATTAAGATCCTATAGAGCTCTAGATGACTATAACTACTAATAAGAAGCTATAAGAGATTAGATATATTATTATAATCTAGTTATAGAGATAGTATTAGAAGAAGTTAGCTAGATGTTAATAGATAGACTAGAGGCCTATAAAGCTTCTTAATTCTAGCTCTATTTAATAATCTATAGATAGTGATTCTCCTCTATTATAGTATTCTAAATAATAGCCTAAGTTAGATCTTTAAGTTTCTCTATATAATAATTAATCTAATAAGTAGAATAGTAACTAAAGAACCTCTTAATTAGGCTGTTAATAGTAGTAGAGATATTATTAGTATTAAATAGGTATAAGATAGCTATTATAGTAGTTATAAAGCTATTACTAAGGGCAGCTAGATTATAGAAGAAGATAGAAGAGGTTAGATTCTTATAATATCTTTTATTAGAGATTTATTTAAAGAGAGGTGTCTCTAATTTACTAGAATTTATCTATAAAAGCTTAATATCACTCTTATCTAGTAATTTAAGAAAGATATCTAGATTAAAATTATAGTATCTTTTAATTACTACTCTAATCTATATATATAAGAGCTCTTATTAGGATAAGGTTAATAGACTAGCTGATAAATTAGTATATAAGCTAGCCTCTTTAATATCTCTAATTAAAGCTCTAATAGCACTTTTACTATAGAAAACCTCTTAATATATATCTATATTATTAAGAGATATAATCTATAGTTATTTATAAGAATGAGTGATTATTAAATATTAAGTAATAAATACCTTCTAGATCTTATTACTAGCTATAAGAAGACCAGTAGATTTATTATAAGATATCTTTAATCTAGCTATTAATATCTTTTAGATTCTAAAGTACTTCTTCTTATTATTATACTTATTCTAAATAGTTTAGGCTATAAGTAGTCTCTCTAGAAATTTTACTTATATTTACTTATAGATTTAGTTCTAGACAGACTCTAAATCCTTTTTTTTTATTAAATTTAAGAGCCTATTATATCTAGCTTAGAGAAAACAATCTATAAAAGTAGTTGTTATCTTAAGTAGAAAATTATCTAGCCTAGATCTAGAGATAGCTAAGGATCTTAATTTTTAATAATTAGATTCCTAGAAAGATAAGATAAAAGTAATAATAGATATTATATTATAAATAGCTTTATCTAGGGTTATTAATTTAGAGATAAGGCTTTAAATAGATAGGAGAATAGAAGGAAAATCATCATTAAATTCAGTTAAATTAATATTTTTATATTTATTAGAATCTAAGAAATCTTAAAGTATAATTATTACTTAATTTAGAGATATAATAATAGAGATATCATAGAGTAACAGTCATAAGAATCTATAGCATTATAGAAAAAGTAATAATAATTGTAAAAATTTTCATAGGATATATAAGGATATTTATCAATATAATAATGGTGCTGGGAGACGACTGGTGGAGCAATTAACAGGCTAATTTATTAGAGGACTAGCTCTATTTTTAGTGGCTTAGCATCTACTTCATGTTTTTATACATCCCCCTTTATACCGCGTAACCACTGATTTAGGACGGTCGTTTTATATGCATCTGGGCCTAAGGCTTGCTTTTAACTAGGTACCTAGGTAGCGCATGCAGTCCCCGGTCTGGTTCGGTCCATGCTCCGCAAGTGATACCAGACAACCAGACACTGGGCATGCACGGGATTGCACGGGATAATTAAGGACCAGCAACACCAGGTCAATATTTCAGATAGTTCGGCTTCAGCATTAAGCGTGCCGTACTTTGTAGCTAACAAAAACGGCTATGGATACTTGATAGATGCGAGGAGGATGTGGCAGCAGGATCAAGGGAGAGACAAAACCTCCACCTTCTACCGAGATCTGAGTAACATTCCAGGGCTCACTGGGCTCAATCCAGCATTGTGTCCGCTCGTTCATTCGCCTGGGAAGTCGCCCGGTTTTCTCAGCAAAATCATGCAATTTCTGAAAGGCGAGGATGAAAATCCCACTTCCCAAGACCCCTATTGTGGGCGTACGTAATGATGTTTCGGCTGGGGTCATCAGGCAAAAGCTGATCTTCACGCTCTAGGAAGCTAAACCTTACGTACCTACTCGGTAAGAATCGACAGACGTTTCCGAAGCAAAGGTACCTTACGCAAGATGAGGCGAGTCCCTTATCACAACCGTCCTCAAAAATATGCACTGGCATGAATGACAAGCCGGATTTCTTCAGATTCAACCCTATGTCAAGACTTCTCGAGCCATCAACAAGATGAGAAACGTGATGATGACCAGTATCTCTTCTGATACCGTCAAATGGTCCTGCTGGTCCTGCAGAACTTGGAGACTACCTACCTAGGTACTTAAAAGCTCACTATCCTCAAGACTCCGCCCCCGCCCGCCACACTAGGGAGGAATTGGAATGTTCCTGACAAACAGACCCTGCAGACCCAGGTGCCAATGTTCGCCTAGAGCCTTCGGTGGAGCCACCAGCTAACTGAATTAGTGGAAAGAAAGGACTTCGTAGCAATCGAGTCCGTGGATACCTGGAGATCTTCTGAGCACTTCACGACAGGACATGCTCCCACACATAATGATATCTGCGCTCACGAGTTCTTCTTTGTCCTTCAACTTACTCGCACCGGAGTCCGCAAAAACCTCTTGTATGTCAATGTGTTCATAGAAGAAGAAAGCATGCCCGACGGCGGCAAACCCAATCAAGGACCCCCACCATCGAGCTCCCGGACGACCCGGCCCACGGCATCGCCGGGGACGGGCGTACCGGGGCCTTACGCAACGGATCTCGACATCACCAGCACTGCTTTTGAATCAGATTTAGCAAAAGCTCATATCCCCGCGCCAATTGACTCTTCGCATCAGGCCCAGGTGCGCCGGAGCGCGCCGCAAAGCCCTACAGGAGAACGTTCAGGTAGACCCGGAAGTCCGCTGTTTTCGTCGCCTCCGCCTGTGGTTATCAGCAGGCCGGGGTCGCCAAACTTGCCATCTGGCCATGATCTGCTGGGGACACCACCTGTTAATGCGCACGGTACGCGTGATGCGTCGGACTGTCGTTCATTAAACACATCGGTGACCGGGCGGTTCGATAGCCCTATCAGCAGACCAGCCAGCAGCCATGGCTATGCGAGAAGGACCACTACAGCCAGGACGACAGCTGAAAGGCCAACGAGTTGGTACGGTGGCAGTCTTACCGTTCCTCCCGAGACAGCAGGTGCGCAGACAGTATCGCGGCCAAACCTCAGCCGCTCGTCCGCCAGCTACGATCATACATCGAGAGGGAGCGGGGCACTGGGACGGCCGGTTTCGACTCCGATCCTGGATGCATTCAACATGCGCTTTCCACGTCGACAGGAATTGAGCGTGCTCGACAGACCAGTGAGTATGCAGGACATGGGAGCCATAGCGGATGAGTATCGCATACCGGACACTTCCCACCTCCGCCACGTAGCGCATGGAGGGCATGGAGCGCGGGAGTCCATGCCAATTTCTCAACCCCAGCCACCACATTCTATGGCAGGTCTGCCGCAAGCAGCCCCGTCACCGTTTCTCCCACACCAGGATATTCTTGTCACCTTACAGAGTCGACCGGTCACTCCAGAGATCCCAATTCTCGCCGTTCCCGCGGCTATATCTCGAGAGACCAGCTATGGTCAGCTGCCTGCAAGGCCCCTAAGCAGTCAGAGTCACAAAGGGCATATACAAAATGTTACAAATCCCGCTAGTTTTTCAGCTGTCAAGGACCCTAAAATCCCTTTGAGGGTCGACACATCTTACAAGCACAACGACAGTAGCAACGGAACACATCATGGCTACTCCAAGTCCGCCTCAAACATCCCCTCTCGTCCGCGAAGCTGGTACGGGCCCCAGGACTCCAGAAGAAGTTTTGAGATGAGTCCTTTGGCATTACGCTCCGAAAACGCATCAAGCATCGACTTGGCAGCCCCTTCCACCCGAAGCCAGACACCGAGCGGTACGAGAAAGTTCCGCGCGGTCCCCTTCCAGCCGGACGAGAACTACAGACAGCCCAGCCGGCCGTCCACTCCGGGTTCGCCGTATGCCCGCTCAGCAACGCACAGCCCACGGCCGAGCATGACCCGACCACGCAGCAGCATCGAGCTCCTAGCGCGAGAGCTGCCGTACCAATCCGGAACTTCCACGGCCGCTAACACGACATCCACAACTTCGACTCCAGGCGGGTCCAGAAGCGTCCCGGTATCACTCCATCATGCACTACCGCAGGAGGACTACTACCCCGCCCGGCCGCACTATACCGACACCACGCCGACCCCGTCTCAGTCCCGCCGCGGAAGTATTCAAACACCCCTCAACGACAGCGGACGGTCGACCCCCACACCGCCGGTCCAGTCGGCATACGACCGCAGCCTCGCAGCCATTGCGGTGCCCTATCAACCGCCCGAACTGATGGACTCGCAAAAGCCCGGCATCCCGCCGGTGCGCCCTGCTGACAGGGACCGCGAAGTAGTCAACACCAAGAACGGGTGCTGTGGCATGTGCAACGTGTCAAGCCTCGCGGCATGCGGCGGCGTGGTCGGCGGGTGGGTAGGGACCTTTATTACCATCTTTACGGTCGGTACGCTAGCTGGTAGCATCGCAGGGGTGTGTCAGGGGTGTTGTTCATGATATCGAGGCATCAGCAGCAGTAAATGCAGGGGGATGAAAGTGGAGAGAAAGAAGTCGCACACTCGAGCACGCCATGTTCAGTCATAGCATTAACCCGCACCGGCTTATAGATTTCGATTCAAGACCATTCGACTGTGCAGTACTCGAAGATATATGAAGAGCCAATGGCCACTGAGAGTTTGGTGTCACATGGCTGGAAGAGATAAAATTAGATCACAATAGAATGTCTCCGTATTCAAGATTCTATATGTTGCAGTGCTGAGTGTACAGTTAACTGCTGGGTATCTTGCTCTAGTCTCTGAACAGTGGCTGTCTATACGTGTCAGACATATATTTGTCTCTCCTTCCGGTAGTATCATATTTATTAGACTTGTCAAGAGTCTCATTTTCTCCTTTATCATTGTCATCGCCCTGCCACACTTGAAGTCACAAGCTTTAATACACCGCCTATCGACTTAACCGCGATCAGCACCGTCCTTGTTAGCCGAGTTGTCCTCGTTGACCGTGCCCTCGCGGCTGGTGCTACCGCTTTCGGGGCTGATGAACCCTCGCTTCTCGGTGTCACCGCCGGCACCAGCAGCACCGCCCAGAACACCGCCAGCGACAGAGTTGTCACCCTGCGAGGCGCCGTCACGGATCAGGCCGTACTTGAGCGCGTAAACCTCGATCTCCTCGTGGGACAGCAGCGGCAGATCCTCGGCGGCCTTGACGTACGAGATGTTCTCGGCGTAGCCCTTGGCGAAGATGATGTCGATCTCCTCCAGGGAGCGCCGGGCCGTCTCCGGGTAGAAGAAATAGATGATGGGAATGAAGCAGGCGTTGACTGCGGCGAAGAAGAGGTAAGTGCCCCAGTCGATGCTGTTGATCATGATCGGGGTGACCATCACGATGAGGAAGTTGAAGAGCCAGTTAGTGCAGGTGCTGACGGCGTTGGCTTTGGCTCGAGTTTTGACAGGTGAGATTTCCGCTGGGTAGAGCCAAGGCAGAGGCAACCACGAGGCTCCAAAGCAGGCAATGTAGGTGAACAGGCCGACGGCGGCGCCACGGGGGTTGAGACCAGACTTGTTGATGAGGCAGGCAAAAGTGATGACCATGCTGAGGCATTGGCCGAGAGTTCCCCAGAGGAAGAGCTTGCGGCGGCCGACACGTTCGATAACGAACCACGAGGTGGTGGCAAAGATGGCGTAGATGATCATGTTGACGCCACCCATTAACATGGCCATGTTGTGGTCACCCTGGGTAATGGAGCGCTCGAAAAGAATGGGGAAGTAGTAGATGACGGCGTTGCAGCCGCCAATCTGCTGCATAAGCTGGCTGCTGGCACCGAGCAGGGCACGGCGTAGGTGCTGGGTAGGACCACCGGTGGTGAGGGCCTTGATGGGGGTCGACTTTTGGGCATTGCCGGAGGCCCGGATGCTGTCAATGATCAGGTCACGCTCAAGGGCAGTCTCGCGCGAGCCGACGTCGTAGCCTCGGAGTGCCGAGATGACGACCTCGGCCTCGTCGTAGCGCTCGTGGGTGAGAAGCCAGCGCGGGGACTCGGGCAACCAGATCATGGGGATGGAGACGATGAGCGCGAAGACGATCTGGAAGGCGATGGGGAAGCGCCAGGTCAGGTCAGCAGGGCCATAAGAAGCACCATAGTCGATCCAGTAGCTGACGACGGTACCAAAGGCGATGACACCACCCTCGATGCAGATAAGCAGGCCACGGTTAGATGTCTTGCTGCACTCGGCCTGGTACGTTGGGATGGTCGATGTGTTTATGCCGTTCCCGACACCCATGACGACTCGGCCCACGATAAACTGTGCAAGGGGTGTCGCATGTCGTCCCGCAGTGATCTGAATAATGACACCAAGAATCATAATAACGCCTCCGATGATCATAGCACGGCGTCTACCCAGCAGATCACCAACAGCAAGGATGAACATGGCGCCGATCAGGCAGCCGATTTCGTAGATGGCGGTAACGGTGCCCTGCATAGTAGGGTTGTCACGGGTCGCCTCGAACATGTCGTTGAAGGGCTTGGCCGAGATAATGCCAGACATGACACCCTGATCATAACCGAAAAGAACGAACCCAGTCGTCGCAACGGTTGACACGGCCAGCGACAAGGGCCGGCCCGTCAGGCCCATGAAGGTGGGAGGGCTCATGTTGAAATTTGATTCCGATTTTCTTGTTACTTCGTAAACAAGCACTGTGGGCGCTGAGTGATTTGATAACACAAGAAGCAAGCTGTGTTTCTCTCAAGGTGGTCTTGCCAGCCGTGGATACTAGCCCTCCGGAGACTCAGCCAGAAAAGAGAAGTAAAAGGAGAGTGAAAGATCACCAGAGGATCGATGTGACAGGCAATGCAAGATGCCACGAACCCCGAGGGATGGGGTTGAGGGGAGATGCGATCATATATGTGTACGACAGGGCGAGCAAACACGGCATCTGGTATTACAGTCTCACCAACATCCACAATAAAAGGTCTGCGCATATTGAGGGCGTATCCACGGTGGGGAATGCACCCTTTTGCCTGCCAAGTTTGGCATATCTAGCCAATCTTTATGGCAGCTGAATGCGTGTGCATGTGCCACCAACGAGTGTGCGAGTGTGCAAGTGTGCAACAGACATGTGAATCCTTGCCTAGCCAAGGGATTACTCGTGCGATGCGGTCGGCCGAAGTGACGTTCCCTGCTTGATAGTGGAACCTAGGGATCCAAATTAAATCTTTGCAAAAGACAATGGGCGACCAAATGATGATGACCGGTCCCACATCTGGAGACGAGACGAAAGAGTTTTGCACGAAATGCAGGCAGTATGCAGAAGACGGCGGCGGGACGCTACGCTGCTGGAGTTCCAGCCACCCGCCAGGAACGGACAGATTCACGGGGAAGGGAAGAGTGAGGATCTAAGGATTTGGTCCAGCCAGTCAGTATCACACTCGTCCGGAGTAGGTGAGTGAGTGAGGGTTTCACTGTTGCAGCGGAATGGATCCCTATGACCTCATCGGTGTGGAACGACCTCCGTTCGGCGTCTCCGCTGGAAGAGAAGTTCTACCGCTACTTGTCCTTGTAGAGCTCGTGGAACGGAAAATGTGGAGTGAGGGTGGAAAGGCAGATAGCAGATAGGCATGGCTTGCCTGGACTAGGGCGAGATCTCGAGTGCTGGTTCGGAAGCATGTACCTAGAAGCGTTTTCTTGGGCTAGGTAGCCTTGGTCCCTTTGAGGCGACTGAACCGTGCATGGCTGTCGGCAAAATGGCAAAGAAGGGAATGCTGAGGATCAATAGGTGGGAATGGTGATCTGCACGGCAAACGGACAAAGGTGGGTATCATCCGGGCCTAAGCTTTTGGTAGGGCATCTGCCAAGACGAAAACACATTCTTAAGTAAGGAAAAGAGTTTTCAGTGCCCGTTTGCCATCATCCTAGGACGGGACTTGGCCTCCTCATTGCGTCGTGCCCAATCAGAGCACGCATTCCGCTGTACAAGTACTTGTACAGTGGAATCCCTGACCTCGCAAAGACTCGCACATGGGATGTCAGAGATCTGCCCTATCACGGACAAAAACAGAACGCTGTCCCGAGGCTTAGTGCGAGATGGCTCCCGGTAGTTACTGATGACGTTGTGAAGCCATCATCCCTAATCGGGTATTCCGTGTCCAACCGTGGGCTTGTGCCTCGGTACAGATCTGGCGAGGACTGCATAAAGCAGCACCACCTTGGAGCGGCCAACGCCGCTTCCTCTCCTCACATGTCTCCGCATGTTCTCGCCTCGCTTTGACAGCAAGACTTTAGCTCGCTGATGAAGTGTGACGACATGGTTCGGAGTGCGTGCCAGTGCCTCCTATGCCTCTCAACCCAGCGTCTTCCCAGTGAAGTGCGGACATGATAAGGCAAAAGAAAGCGAAGAAAGAGTCTTCGGTCCGTCTCAGTGTTTATGTGGAGGAGTTTTGAGCGCTTATGCTTGCTGGGAACCATAAAAATCTGGGGCGCATTGACGTACATTTCCACACCACACACCACATCCCTTTTTCCGAATCCACCGCGACAGTGTTGGCGGGCCGCAGCATGCCCGACAGAGCTTGTTGACCGTGCTTTGCCGGGCCGGGAGATTAGTCTCCCACTTTTCGTGCTCCGTACCTGACCCGGGTCGGCCTGAAGGCATTCCCACATCGCTGCTGCGAACTTGCGGGTACGGCGTGGTCCCACCCTGACTCGTAAGGTCCGTCGCCGGCCAACCTGCTCCGTCTCGTGAGCCCCGTTATACTCCAATGGTGATATCTCGGCTCCTTTATGATGAGCCAGTGGAGAACATCGACAGTTCTGACAGGAAACTACTCATTTCATGATGTCAAGTCTGGATGAGGCAAGTAACGGTGAAGAGATTTCGCTATATCGACACCAAGGACACCAACCTGGCAGCCCTGAAGACCCTTGAAACGCAAGACAGGTGGGGAAAGACCCTTTATTGACTAAGGTAGCAACTGATGGCTTGCCTGGCGCCTGGGTTCTGTCTGCGGTTCCAGCACTGAGTTGTACAGGAGACATTGATAATCGCGGCTCATACGGCACACGGTATCTCCTTCACTTGCATGGCCCGCTCCGCTGCACTCCACCTCCTTCGCCAACCATCTACATCTACCTATCCCTTATGAATGGGACAGCTAGCTTTTCCAGCGAACTTTTGATAACCTGTCCCAACTCAAAGCTGCCCTACTAGGACCAGTCTCCTCATCGCATCGACAGTTGCTGCCACGGCCATATTGGCAGTCTTGTGAAGGGTCAGCAATCCAGTTCGAGGTACACGCGGCCTCAGAACATGAGCCTACTCTTTGATATTCGGCCTGCAGAATCTTGGCTTCTTGACTCGTGGCGCTTAGGTCGGGATGGTTCCAGTCGAAGCAGAACGTCAAATGCAAATCCTCTGCGCCACCCGGGCCAGTACTAATCACGTTTGTCGCTGAGCTCCCACCCTCCATGCTATAATCTAGCCGACAGGGCGCACGCAGGGTGCAAGTCTCCCTGATCTGCTGGGCGTGCGTCACGGAATGTTTGAAGTGAACAATGCAGCTGATGGTGTGCCCTTCTTCTCCGATGATCTCGCAACGATCGACGACAGGCACAAAGTCAGTTGGGTAGCGAGCTTTGCGCTCCAGCCCCGCCCATACCTGCCTTGAAGTCAAGACGGGCTGAGCGCTAGGCGGGTTGATCGGGGCAGTCGATGAGGCATATATAACGACCATCACGGCAGCTTTGAACGAGGAGTGTTTCGAAATGAAGCAGTGAATTCTGTTGTAGGCGACAGCAGATCCGTATTGGCACCCGACCGAGGTCCAAGTGGGGAAGTCCGACCCAGCGTTGTACAGACTTGTCCTGTGGCCAACAAATATTTGTCTAGTCCAGCCACGCTCTTTTTCTTTGATTTCTTAGAGAAGAACTTGCTCGTTCATCGACTCATAATTACTTACGGCGTTGTGTTCAGCTTTGCCGTACCCTTACAAGCCTCTGTTGTGGCATCAAAAGGAGAGCTCTATGTTGATAAGTTCTTCCAAAATCTGTTCTTTTGCCTAGATGTCTTATGAGATATGACACTTCCCAAACATAAGGACTGCGGAAAGGCTACTAAAGACTCTAAACCGTAATATTCCGTGTCGCTGATCTAGGTCACGTCGGGCAGGACGGACAAGGGCTGTATCAGCGGCACTCTCAGCCAATGTCGCAGTTTTCCTTCCCTACTTAATAACCGTGGCCTATAGATGCTGGGCAGGGATAGTCGGGGTGGCTATGAAGATAAAGGAAACCTGACTAGGCGTCACGATAAGGAGGGAGCCTGGACCCGGCATTCTTTTTGACAAACCCATCCATAGGCTTCTTAATGCTTCAAAACATGGACTTCAGACTTCTCGAGGTTCTCTTGGTATGCCTTGACGACCGTTTTCTTGAAGTCTCGCGCCGCAACCTTTTCGGCAAAAAGAATATCCAGCTCTTCATAAGTTCGGCCCTTCAACTCTGGTAGACGGAAGAACACATAGATCAAGCAGAGGAAACCAGTGCCGGCGAAGATGAATCCGGCCTTGCCCTTCAGATTGGCCTCGGTCTCGTTGAAGAGGTAGGGCATAGCGACACCCCAGACAATGTTCAGGCCGTTGAATGTATTCCGGGCCAGAGCGATGGTCTTGGCCTTGAGACGTGTAGAGCCGACCTCCGTGACGATGGAGAAGGCCACCGACCCGACCGTCATACTCGTGATAAAGGGCCACAGAATCAGCAGAATAGACTGAGCCCACATTGCAGAGTGGGTGTTGGCCAACGAGGCACAACCAATGCATAGCATGACGCACACATTGAGAGTGACACCGAACAAGTAGATCTGCCGACGTCCGAAGTGGGTGAGCATCACCCAGGACAGTGCAGTACCAACAAACGCGACCAGACGGTTGCCGACACCCATATTAAAAGCCTGGTCTGTCGGGATGCCAATCTGCACGTTAAAATAGACATCGAACGCTTTCTGGAAAGAAAGAAAAAAACATGAAGTTAGCGAGGGATTTGACAAGAGCCCAAGAGCGGGTAGATACGTACGAGTGGCAGACCAAAGAAAACTTGAGTGGCCCAGGCCATGCACGCGATCTCTGTACGTCTCCGATCAGTTCCCCTGAAGCAATCAATGTAGGAGGTGCCAGTCTCGGCGGCCTTTTCAAGCTGATTGGTATGTACCATCATAGCGATGGTGTTCCTCGTGTCGACAGTGCTATCCTTTGCAGACAGCCGCTTCAGAGACTGCTCGGCCTTGTCCAACTGGTCTTGTCGGACCAGCCACCAAGGAGACTCGGGAGCGAACCAGACAAAGGTGAACAACGGAATGGGCCAAACCCACTGAACGGCAAAAGGGATCTTGTATGACCAGTGATTGTTGACATCCATCGAAGAGACGCCCCGCATGACGCAAGCGGCCAAGAGCTGGCCAACGATCCAGGTGATGTTGATGTACGAGGTGAGATACGCTCGCAAGGCCAGAGGGCAGACCTCGGACGCATAGGTCGCAGCCGTGATGCTGAACTGGCCCCAGCATAGACCACAGAGGATTTCACCAGCCACCAGGACACCCAGAGTCGGGGCGAAAAAGGGTATGAAGATAAGACCAGTGAGCAGAGCATAACAGGACAGAAGAATCTTGCGGTGGCCCAGCCTCTCTGTTAGCCAACCGTTGATGAGGACGCCGATGAAGATGCCGATAGAGCCAGAGTTGGAAACTGCACTCTGCCATGAAGCAGGGATGGTGTATTTTCCGTTGTTGACGTAGCCGAATTGCTTGTTAAAGGCGGGCTAATATAGTTACGACGACAAAGTCCGCATCAGTGCCCAGCCAACGACGAGGACATGGAGCGATTGGATGGGAATGGTTGTGACATACAAGTCCAAGAAGCGAACCCAGAAAGCCTGTGTCGTATCCGTCCATAGTGGTTGCCATAGAGATTGCGACAGACCAACCCACAGCCTTGGGATAGGCCCGGAGGCCTTGCCACAAAGTCATCGATTTCTCTGCGTCGGCGCCAGCTTGGGCATCACGCGCCAACTCGCTGTCGACCACATTGCCGGTTGTCTCGTGCAGCTGAGCCTCGCCCATCTTGTCATCGGCTTTTGACGACGCCTTCTCCAGGTCTGCGGTCATTGAGTCCGGTGTGTAAGGCAACAAAGAGAAGAGGACAATGCTGATAGGATCTGGACTTGTCACGGAGGGATGAAGTCTCGAGGAAAGAAACCCGAAATGCGCCCTGACAGACAGTCCAAGGCGACACTAGATGCAGCAGACGATCGGCAGTCTTTATATCAACAGGCTCCCAGTCGCTGGCTGGATTCGGAGACATGGCCAGGGATATCGCAATTCCCATGGGGTATTGTTCATTACCCCAGGCTGGGGTGTGATCAGGCGGAGCTGGAGGGGAAATTGTTTCTTTGCCTTGCTCCGGGTCGCCGCTAGTGCTCATTAGCCCTCTTGACGTAGTGGGTGGGCGCGGATCCCGCTTCGCCTTATCCAAGTCTCGGCCGTCGCTACGGTTCATCCTGAATGTCGCTCCGCTCTCCGGCGTCTGCCCTGTGACTTGCAACCACGGGCCCGCCTACACAGCAAAGTTAGATGAGTCGGCGATATCATGTGGTGGTTTTGTACTCATACATTCTTCAATTAGCTCAGAACAAGTGGCATTGATAGTCGTGCGGCACTAGTGATAGCTAGGAGTCGAGAAGCAGTTCATCGGATGCCGCCTCGGTTGGCGTGTCTCAGTGCGAAAGCGCGACTTTCGATGAGCACCAACGACAATGTCGGCACCCGACGCCAAGAAATAGGTCTCGATAACAGCACGTCGACTTATACCTTTGCATAACCGCCCTGGGCGTCCCGACTGTTCCTCATGACGGCCTGGTCCCCTGCTCAGGAAATCTAGTTATCTTTCATTACCCGTCTTGTCCCTAGTCAGAACTTGGACACGAGCAGGCAATTAGGAGGACCAGCACACGCCATCTTCCAACATGGCAGCAAAGAAAAACATCTTGCTCATCATCGCAGATGACCTGGGCCGCAACCTGGGCGTCTGCGGGGAGTCCAAGATCAAGACGCCCAACCTCGATGACCTCGCTGCACAGGGCACATACTTCGATATGGCTTTTGCCAGCACGGCATCCTGCAGCGGCTCCCGGTCCGTCATACAGTCCGGACTTCACACGCATGAGACTGGCCAGCTGGGCCTCCTGCGTGGCTTTCAGGGCCTGCACTACTTTACGACCTTTGACCACGTTGAAACGTCCCCCAAGGTTTTCAACAGCCTGGGCTATCTGACGGGCATCATCAACAAGGTCCACGTCGGCCCTGCGGAGTGTTATCCATGGCGCGTGCGGGAGGAGAGCAGTACGCGCGATGTCGCCTGGACAGCGCAGCGGTCTGCTGCATTCTTCGAGAGAGCCAAGGAGGAGGACAAGCCCTTCTTCCTGACTGTGGGATATATCGACCCCCATCGGGATCTCACACGTGGCGGATTTGGCAACACTCAGGACTACCCGGGCGTTGAGCACCTCCCCTACGATCCCAAGGATGTTACTATTCCCTTCTTCTTGAGTGACGTCCCCGAAGTACGGCAGGAGCTGGCAGAGTACTACAGTGCTGTCTGGCGTATGGACCAGGGTGTGGGCATGCTGCTGCAGGAGCTCCACCGGGCTGGCCTCGACGAGAGTACCTTGGTCATGTTCACCAGCGACAACGGACCGCCCTTTGTCAACTCCAAGAGCACATTGTACGATGCGGGTGTTCGCCTGCCCATGATCATCAGAACCCCTGGCTGCACGCCCGGCATTGTGAATCCCAACCTCGTCTCTTTCATCGACATCCTGCCCACCTTCCTCAACTGGGCCGGCTTTGCCAACGTCAAAGGGAACCGCAAGGGCCGCTCCGTGCTTTCCATAATGAGCGAGACGTCGCCTCTTGACGATTGGGGCCAGGTCTTCGGCTCGCACACATTCCACGAGCTGACTGCGTACTACCCGACGCGGTACATGCGTACCAAGCGCTTCAAGTACCACCGAAACGTTGCGTGGCAGCTCGATTTCCCATTCCCTGGCGACCTGTACGGCGCCGTCTCGTGGGAGGGCATGCGCAACGCCGAGCCGGCCATGATCGGCAAGCGGCCCGTCGCAAACTACATCAAGAGGGGCCCCGAGGAGCTATTTGATCTGGAGAATGACCCCGAAGAAGTGCACAACCTGGCCAACGATCCCGAGTACAATGAAACGCTACTGGATATGAGAAAGGCGCTCGAGGCGTGGCAGCTCGAGACCGAGGACCCGTGGTTCTTCCGAGACGGTATATCCACGAGGGTCATCTTCAATCATATTGATGCGGGGATGAAGATGCCTGATCGTTGGGACTTTGATGTCAACAGCCCAGGCAGCAAGGATGGTGCCATCATGCCTCACTCTTTCAAAGAGGTAAGAGGTAGAGGCGCTATGTGATCCCTGATTCCAGTGTGCTCACCATGAAGCACGACCTCGACCTAGTAGCTAGAACTGCCAATAGATCTTCAATTGTGACTAGTACTCACCAGCAGCACGCGGCTTATCTGGACACCCTTAAGCTTGCTCCAGAGTCTTATGTGCCAACTCAGACTCTTTGTCCAAACATTCCACGATTGGAAATTAGACGATATGCACATCTCTTGTTGTGCCTCAAGTCATTTATAGCGTAATCTCAGCTCCAAAGGTGGAGAAATCCACGTCTAGACTATTCTGGTCTTCGGCACAAAGAATGGCAAGGGTTCACTTGAGGGAGAGAGCAGACAAGCTCCGAGTTGTTAATTAGTGCGGCGGAGCATTGATGAAGCCGAGAATCGAAGTTTTTTACGGAGCTAGTTGTAATAGGCTTGGTTCACAAGCTTCCTGCTGCTCTTTTCGAGTCTCGTTTTTTACGGGGTTTGAAGGCTACGAGGCAGTCAGGGAGACGATGTAAGCTTATCATTTACTCCTCTACAGGACTCGTCTTATGAACTTGAAGCTCTTCTTTATCTATTGCGCCCACGACGCTCCAGTGCGCTTCTTCAGAAAGTCCCTCACACCATCCACCAGCTCCACCTGTCCTGTGACAGTGTTTTCGCCATAATTAAAATCTTGGACAATGGTGCCACCCGGCAGTCCCGCGAGCAACATATCGACGAGCTCCTGGGCGTGCTGCGCAGGGATGCCGAGCCCGGCAAAGTAGCCAGGCAGCTCATCACGATCGGCGGTCTGGAGCTCGACTTGGTGGCCCGTGGCCTCCTCTATGGCGGCCTTGAGATCGAGCGCCGAGTAGAAGCGCGGGCCAAACATGTTGAAGATGTAGGGGCTTTTTGGGTTGGCCCCTTCCGAGAGGAGATTGTGTGCGCAGGCCTCGGCGATGTCCTCGAGGCTGACCTAGACCGCGGAGTACCAAATCAGCAAAGATGCCATCATGTTATCGATACAGGTTCGGGTTCAGGTTCATGTGTGCCGGGCTTACCATGGGTATCTGATGTTCAGCAGGAGAGATCCACGTGTTCAGGACGGGCGTTTCTCCCTCTGGCCACTGTAGCTGAGAGAGTAACTCGGTGTAGAAGTAGCCCGGCCTGATCACACGGACATCAGGGACAGCGTGCTCGAGCGCCTTCTCAGAGATGTGGTTCAGACACAAGATACCCTAGATCATTGACATCAGCCGTCAAGCCCCAGACTCGGACTAGGCCTCACTAAAAGAGTGAGGGTCGGGTCACTTACAACGCCCTTGTCGTGATTTGCCCCGATAGCAGAAAAGAGAAGCAGGCGCTTCACGTTGGGGGAACCCTGCAGGGCGTTCTTGACATTGCCAGCGCTGCGCTCCGCCCACACGGCCTGCGGTGTGCCGTCATCATAGGTCGGCGGCGGGATGTAGAAGACGGCGTCGGTGCCGGCAAAGTCGAGCTTGCCGGGGGTGCCGACGTCGCCAGTCGCGACCTCAAAGTTGGGGTGCGAGGTGAACTCGGTGGGCGCCTTGGCCGGGTCGCGGTAGATTCCGCGGACGGTGGGCTTGCTGTCGTCGACCAGCAGGCGGCGGATGGTCTCGCGGCCGGCCTTGGTGGAGGCCGGGACAACGGTGACGTGGCGGGTCATGGTGGACGAGATGATTAGAATTTAGGGGTAGGAATATACTGCGTTGTCTGGTTGGAAGTGAGTGAAAGGTTTGTGTCTTAGATTGTCGACATTCTTGTATAGAAGCTTGCGAGGTAAGAAGGGATAGCAAGCTTGGTTTTATATACCCAGACCTGTCGGCATCGACGCGGAGCCGGCCTTGGAGACGCTTCCCTCCGGCTCCTGCTGAGGATCCGCGGACACCCGTTAATAGCTTCCCTTCCAGATTTGGCATATTGCGGAAGCCCGCAATCATGCTGAGTCAAGCTAACGCGGTGTCGAGGCAGTCATGCGCTTCTGTGAGGCGTGTCGAGATCGAGAGTCCTTTGGCTCAGATGTGGTGTGTCGATCGGATCCGACGTTTTCAACTGGCTGGGCTGAGAAATGACGGATCCGATGCAGGTTTAATTCAGTGGGGCGACACGGCTTGAGGGACGGATCCGTGAAGCTGCCGACGCACTCTGGTTTGGGAATTAGTCCATGCCGACGGGGCCCCAGTTGTGGCGCTCTCCAGGCTGCCATGGCCTGAAAGTCTGTCTGATCGGTGCATCTCTCGACGACGCCAAGGTCTGCGCAGGTTGCTCCGTTGGCCGAATGTCTGAAGTCGGACTTTATTGGTGTCACTTTCTGCTGGGAGAAAAAAAGTCGCCGAGCAGGATTTGGCACGGCGAGGAGGATGTGAGTGAGGATGCGAGTGAGGATGAGAATGAGAATGAGAATGAGTCAAATGGTTATCCTGCCAACAAGACTTGAATTCATGTGGCCATGGTAGGGCGGCACTCAAGGTCAAGGCGTCGGTCGAAAAGGTACTCTACAGTTCATTTCATCTCGTTTCAATTTTTTTTTCCCCGTTTCTGCGGACAAATGACTGACACACAAGACACATGAACAGAATGCTAGTATGACATGCAAAGGTTTGATAACCAAAACGACCAACAAAGTACAACAAGGCTCATGGCTCATGGCTCATGGTTCATGGGTCGCAGCCACCCCAACCCCAAACCCCAACCCATTACTGCTCGCTGACAAACAGACCGGCCATGCCCATGCCGGTGCCGATGCACATGCTGGTCAGCAGGACCTTCTTGCCGGTCCTCCTGCACTCGCTGAGGCCGGTGACGATCTGGCGGGCGCCGGTGGCGCCGAGGGGGTGGCCGAGGGCGATGGCGCCGCCGCGGGGGTTCATCTTGTCCCAGGTGAGGCCGGCGATGTTGTCGCGGCAGTAGACGGCCATGCTGGCAAAGGCCTCGTTGATCTCGACGACGTCGACGTCGGCCATGGTCAGGCCGTGCTGGGCGAGCAGCTTGGGGATGGCGAGGGAGGGGCCGATGCCCATGATGCGCGGGGCGAGGCCGGCGACGGTGCTGCCGACGTACTTGCCGACGATGGGCTGGCCGAGGCGGATGGCGGTGGAGCGCTTCATGAGCAGGACGGCGGCGGCGCCGTCCGAGATCTGGGAGGCGTTGCCGCCGGTGGTGGTGGGCCCCCACTGGGGGAAGGCGGAGCGGATCTTGCCGAGGCTCTCGGCGGTGGTGCCGGGGCGGATGCCCTCGTCGCGGGTCAGGGTGACGTCCTTGTCGGCGCCGTCGGGACCCCGGACCTTGGTGGCGATGGGGACGATCTCGTCGTCGAACCAGCCGGCGTTCTGGGCGGCCTCGGCGCGGCGGAAGCTCTCGGCGGCGTAGCGGTCCATCTCCTGGCGGGAGATGCCAAAGTCGCGGCTGACGTTCTCGCTGGTCCAGCCCATGGGCTGCATGCAGTCGTGGGACTCTTGGGAGCGCGAGGTGACGGCGTCGTCAAAGGGCTTCTCGAGGGCGTCGCCGCCGATGGTCATGCTCTCGGCGCCCATGGCGATGCCGATCTCGATGGAGCCGGCCTGGATGGCGTGGGCGATGTCGGCGGTGGCCTTGAGGCCGGAGGAGCAGAAGCGGTTGATGGAGGCGGCCGAGGTGGTGTTGGGGAAGCCGGCGGCGAGGAGGGCGGAGCGCAGCTTGTAGGCGGCCTTGGCGTCCGAGACGTTGCCGCAGGCGATGTCCTCGACGAGGGCCGGGTCGAGGTTGCAGCGCTTCCGGACCTGCTCGAGCAGGGCCATGACCATGTACTCGAGGCTGGTGTCCTTGAAGCCGCCCTTCTTGCCCTTGCAGAGCGGGGTGCGCACGGCTAGGGTGATGACGATGTCGTCGGCATTCTTGGAGGTGCTGCGAGTCGCGTCAGTCAACGGTGCCTGCTTTTCGCTTTCCCCCCTTTGGCCCTTGGCGACGACGTCTCTTTGTCTCTGTCTCTGTCTCTAGAGACGGAGCGCAGATCTGCGGTCCGTGGCGAGAGGAGGGAGTGGGAGCGAACGGGTGGCTTGTACGTACATCTTGGAGACAGCAGAGCCCGGGGTGAGGTGCTTGAGGATGGATCCTAGCCTTTCGGTGGCCATGTTTGCTGCTGACGTGGGAGGGAGTGGAGGGAGTGAGTTGAGGAGAGAGTTGAGGAGAGAGAGTTGAGAGGGAGAGGGATACTGAAGAGAGAGGAAGAAAGGACAAATGCAGAGAAAAGGCGTGCGTGCGCCGGCGGCGATGGAGCAGATGATATGGGAATGGTTTGGGGTAAAGGAAGCTAGAGAACCGACCCGACGACGGAGGACACCCCGAGGATGAATTTGATGGGACTGGAGGAGGGATCAATCAATCAATTAATCAATCAGGGCAGTGTAGGTAGACAGCTGCTCGCTCTCCCCGTGGCGAGGAACGGCAAAGAAAAGCTGGGGTTCTCAAGGGTTGGAGGTGAGGTTGACCGCGATGCCTCGGCCCAGGTCGACGGCAGTTATGCAGCGCCTCGGCAGCCCCAGTCTGGCAGGGCGGAGAGGGAGAGAGGGCTGCTAAGGCGGCGATAGTCGGCGTGCAGAGGGTTGCGGGGTGCAGCTAGCAGGCCACTAACTGGATGGCAGCACGCCGACTCGGACAGCGCGCCCACGGGTGTCCACTCCCTGACGCAGCCGCTAATAAGAGGCGCAAGGTTTAACCGCCCGCCATAGCCGTTTCGCTCAACCTGGTCCTGAGGGGACGAGGACGAGCCTCTGGGCTGCTTTTGTCAGTGGGGAGTGAATGAATTCCTCAGTGGAGGGGACCTCCTGGATCGAACTACCTAGGTAGTTAATCGGAACCCTGAATAAATCCATCGGTGTGTCCCTAATAAGGCCTGAGGGCTGGCTGTCGATTGTGTCAATTGTCAGCAGCTTCGTCTCCTTCTCTCAACTCCGGCCGCCAAACCTGTCGCTGACTACCTGACTAGGTGCTTGCTTTCGAAGCCTCTTTGCTTCTTACGAGCCGTGCTGTCTCAACAGGTAGGTAACTACCTAGTCAATGTCTGACTCGGACTTCTGCACTGCACGGAGGGAGGGGCCGGGATTGATGGATGCGCTGGAGGACGGGAAGGATTGAGGCCGCCACAGTAGCACATGGCTTTCTTGCATCCGTCGGGACGAATGGATTCTTCAGCGGCGGCTCGATCAGGCCTGATGTCTTGAATTGGTGTCTCTGTCTCTTGTTTCTGACTTTGGCGCTGATTTGAAGCAAGACCGAGCCCAGTTGAGCCTCAGTCACTCGCTCGCTCGCTCACTTCCTCCATGGCCTCCCTCACACCTCCATAGAGTTGACTCCCAGCTGGAGAGATTGCATGCATGGGGGCGCTTTAGTGCGCCAATAGTGCGCCAAAGCCTCGTGTCCGCGACAGGCTTAGCGCCCCCGCGCCCTGTGCCCTCCCCCCAACAGGTACCCCCAATCCCCAATCCCCCTGAGCTGGATGGCCCCAATTGGCCCCCCTGTGCGCCCGGGTCTGGCGGATCGATCTTCTTCAGCTCCGTGTACGTACGGCCTACCTGGTAGGTATGCAAAAGTGGTTATGGCCGTGGTTGTGGCCACCGTCGCAGCGCATCGCATCGCATCGCATCGCATCACATCGCCGCCTTTCATGTATTTCTTGGTAATATAATATCTTTGCTTTCCAGTCGTTCGTTTCCTGCCTGCCGTAGGGCAATCGTTGCCGTCGTTTGCTTGTATATCCTTCCTGACTCTGCGTCGCCCCGCGCCCACGCCTTCGGCCATCACCATCCTCCCGCATTCGCCCGCGAGTCAATCCTCGTCGCGCCCTCCTCCTCCTCCTCCTCCTCCTCCGCCGCCGCCGCCGCCGACCTCGAGAGCCCGTAATTCGCATCCCATCGCGGTCCTCTGCGCCCTCGCTGGCCTCTGCGCTGCCATCCTTCGCCAATCGCTTCTACCTGCGCCGCTTCTCCTTGTCGGCATTGCTTCTCTTCGACCGTACATATACATGCCCCTTCCTTTTCCATGTGAGCTAGAACACCATGTACATACAATCAAACTTCGTCGCCGCCGCCCGCGCCTGCCTGGCGCTGCTGCTCCTCGCCCTCCCCGACACCGCCTCGGCAACCACCTCCTCCAAGCGCGGCCTCGTCTTCACCCCCAACTCGTCCTGGCCCCAGGACAACTACATCTGGCCCCGGCCGCCCTCCGACCTGACCTGGTACTACAACTACGGCGCCAGCCCCTCCCCCGTCTACTCCAACTACACCCAGGACCAGTTCGAGTTCGTCCCCATGCTCTGGGGCGCCCCCTCCGACCTCTCCGACACCACCTTCCTGACCACCGTCAAGAGCCTCATCAAGACCCGGCCCATCTCCCACGTCCTGTCCTTCAACGAGCCCGACGGGCCCTCCGCCTGGGGCGGCTCCGACATCCCGCCCTCCGTCGCCGCCCAGGTATGGGTCAACAACTTCGTCCCCCTGCAGGACCTCGGCGTCAAGGTCGGCCTGCCCGCCTGCACCGGCGGCTGGGGCGGCGTCCCCTGGCTGACGCAGTTCCTCGGCAACTGCAGCAACCTCATCAGCAAGGGCAAGCCCGACGCCAAGAACTGCACCTACGACTTTGTGCCCATCCACTGGTACGGCAACTTTGACGGGCTGGCCAGCCACATTGGCACCTACGCTGCTGCGTAAGATTCTTGCTTCTCTTCTCCCTCCGGCTCGCACTTGATAATTGTCTGTTGTCCTGTCTAACCACGCGTCCATGTCCCTCCTCCCCCGCCATCAGCTTCCCCAACAAGTCCATCTGGGTCACCGAGTACAATTTCGACAACCAGGACCTCGAGGCCACCCAGTCCTTCTACAACATGTCCTCCCAGTACATGGACCGCCTCGCCGAGATCGGCCGCTACTCCCTCTTTGGCGCCTTCCGCTCCTCCGTCTCCAACGTCGGCCCCAACGGCGCCATGCTCAGCGCCGGCGGCGAGCTGACCGACATAGGCAGCTGGTACCTCGGCGGCAGCGCCACCGGCGTCGCCCCCACGAGCAAGAAGGGCGCCGCCGCCGGGCCCCCCAGGGCCTGCACGGGCCTCCTCGTGGCCCTCGCCGCAGGCGCCGGTGCCCTAGCCCTCTCCGGCTTCTAGGGCAAGCCGCGCGAGAGGCCTGCTGCGGCCGGCGGTAGCTTCAGGGTAGTGGCAGTTCCGGCGCCGAGAGCGATGATGGTATTCCCACGGGAAACTATGACTGGAAACGTAATGTGCAGGCGAGGAGATAGAGGCATCTTGATGGCGTTATTGCGGCTTTTCCATAGACGGGAACAACCCCTCCCACCTCGAGCGAGTGACTTGTATATCTCATAATTTAGAGAAATGCATATAAGATGAATGGGACTTCTTTTGGCATGTGCCATCTCAGGCCGATGACGTTGCCAGCCTCTCAAGCTGCAAGCACTGCAGGTCAAGAAGTCAACGCCGAAAAAGAGAAGAAGGAATGGGCTTTCTGTCATTAGAAAAGCGGGAGTTCTTTCGGGACCTGCCTGATTCCATCCAGCCCTCCCTCCAGTTCATCATCATCAACCACTCTCATTGGTGCATTGTGCTATACCCAACCACTTTCCTCTACGTCTACATGTTCCCACATCTTTGTCAGTATATCATCGGTTGCAAAGCAAAGCCGGTCACTTTGTCAGTCTCTTTGTACATCCCGCCATGGAGGAGCTCAAGCATTGGGCCTCGGTCTCAGCCACGGAGAACGCGTTGCACAACAAGACCGAGTCCAAGACATGTCAACTTCCTCCTCTCCATGTCCTTAAGAGTATTACCTCACAGATAGATGATCCGGACGTGTCATGCTTCCGAGCCATCTGCAGGGCTTTCTACGATGCGTCCCAAGAGTCCTCTGCCTCATGCAGTGCATCCCGATTTTGCCAGCGTACGAGAGGGCATGGCCCTCGACCAATCATCTCTACCCGGGAACGGAATCACATGGGATATCCGTCTAGAGACGGACGCGAGCTCTCCAACGGCAAGAACAACAATGTGACCATCTCCAAATAGGATACCATTCCCTTGCCTTCGAGTGCCACCCGGCAAGTCCATCTTCCAGGCGGGCATTGACAATAACGCCATGCATCCCTTCTAATACGCCCGTAGGTCTTTCCAGAGACGGTCGCACCATCGTGACGTCTGACCCTTATAGTTACGACTGCTGCGTCGATTACGGATGGTTCCTTTTCTCGTCAACTTTGTGTTCATTCTGACAATATTCTAGGCCCGAAATCGAATAATGACAATCTTTGCTTCCAGAACATATCAAACCGGCTACAATGTCCTTCTCCCGTGACACTCGCAACCCTTCTTGCCCCCCGTACCTATTCGCGGTTGCTACCACCCGACGGGCGGCCAAGGGGTCGCCTCCGCCGCTTTAACCAGAGGGGTTACCATTAAAGGCGAGGAGGTTCTTGGTACCGCTAGGGATGCTGGTCAGGACACCAGAGCTGGCAAGGGTCTGCATGTAGGAGCACAGGGCCTGCGGGCTCTTCTTGCCGAACAGGGTGAGCAGGTAGGCACCGAGACCAGTGATATGGGGGGTGGCCATGCTCGTGCCGCTGATGGTGTTCTATTCAGCCGAGAACGTGTCAGTTTTCTTTTCTCACGGCACACTATATGACTATGATAGATACGAGTGGGGGAGAGAGAGAAGGGGCAGGGGGGAGGGGAGATCCGTGGCTTACAGTGGAGGTGGTGCCCGAGTTCCAGGTGCTCAAGATGTTGGTGCCGGGAGCAAAGATATCGACGACGGAGCCGTAGTTGGAGAAGCTGGAGCGGCGGTCGTTGATGTCGGTGGCGCCGACGGTGCAGACGGTCGGCTCCGAGGCGGGCGAGAAGGACGAGGCGTCGGTGTTGTCGTTACCGGCGGCGACGGCCAGGAAGACGCCCGAGGTGATCATGTTGGCGGCGGCGCTGTTCATGGCCGTCGAGCGGGAGCCGCCGAGGGACATGTTGGCGACGGTGCCGTTGGGGCAGGACCGCGTCTGGGCATCGCTGGCGACATAGTTCATGCCGGCGATGACACCGGAGCTGTAGATCATCCATCATGTGAGTATATACTGCCACATGAAAGGATGAAGGGACAATATCAAGTCACGTGCGCATACATGAAGCCTGGACAGGGCAAGAGAAGAAGAGAGCAATCAGAGAGGTCAAACATAAAACATACGTGGTGCCGGAGCCATTGGCCTGGAGGACCTTGACGGCGTAGAGCTTGGTCTTCTTGGCTACGCCATAGGTGGTGCTACCGATGGTACCGGCGACGTGAGTGCCGTGGCCGTTGCCGTCGGTGTCGTCGCCGTCACCCGTGAAGTTCTCGAGCCAGGTGGCGCGGCCGCCAAAGTTCTGAAGAATGAGGCGCGGTCAGTAACGAAGCCTCCTTTCATAGCGAAAGGCTAGAAGCCAAGAGGGGCATCAGCTTACGGAGTGGGCTGTGTAGATGCCAGTGTCGATGATATAGGCGCATGTTCCGGCACCGGCACTATCGTCGTAGACGTAGGTTGTGCTGCCCTTGGAGCGGTGGCTGATGCGGGCGATGCCTATCATTGAGAGAGAGCGTGTCAATCATGATCCAGCGATATGCGCGTCAAGAGGATTCGTACCCCAGGGAGCATTCGTCTGCGACACATAGGAGTTGATGCTCACGACGGCATCCTGCTCAATGTACTCAACCTAGACATATGTCGTCAGCGAATCTACAACATGACTACATACGTCTTTCTGCCATCCGATGCCTTACCTCAGGGTGATTCTGCAGGTCCGAAAGAGTATCGGCCCCCAGAGTGGACGCAAAGCCGGTGAAGGCGCCACCATCGTAGATGTGGTCGGGCTCGACGGGCAGGTTGTTGACCGTCTCGTCGATGGGGGTCCCCTGCTTGAACTTGACAATGTACTTGCCGGGAAGGACTTGGGCACCACGCGGCTGGATGATCGGCGCCGGCTGGGCGCGTTTTGCCGGGGCGGCGAGCGCCAGGGGGAGAAGAGCCAAGAGTGCTAGGGAGTGCATATTGATCGGTAGTGTGGTACGGCAGATGGCAGATCTGGCTGGACCAAGTTTGTACGTGCTGGGAGCAATACGTGTGTGTGGGTGTGTGTGTGTGTGTGTGTGTGTGTGTGTGTGTGTCCAAAGGAGGCAAGATGGTACTGGAGCTAGTGGTGAAGCTATTCAAGAGCATGTCTCGATGGATTGGAGATGCTCATGACTATTTATGCTTCTCCAGACTCATGTGAGCGGGCATCTATCCATCTAACTACCTTCCCCCCGAAGTATCATGCCCGTCGTCTCCATCCATCGCCAGAAAGCCTGACCGAATGCCACATGTCGTCCAGGTGCTCGAGTTCGTGACGGGTCATCGCCGCGAGAAATCACAGTCTTGTCTCCAGTAGGAAGGACGAGATAGTTGAGCGGTGTAGGTGGGAACGACTTCTTATCGTTTGATGCCGCAAGCGTCGAGTTTTCCTCCTTTCGCTGCAGCTAGCCCAGTCATTCGTCTTTTCTTCTCTCTACTTTCTGCTCTTTTGGGAAAAGCCAGCCCTGCCCATAGCGTAATCAGGGTCCCGTGCATATGCTGCACATGCGTCTGATAACCGGATGGATGCGACTGTGCACGGGGTAGGCGAGTTTGAGGCAGGTAAATTGCCCAGCATGGGAAAACCAGGTCGGCGCTGCCAGGACGTAGATGGTAGCTGGGCGGGCATGCCAAGCATATTAATATATTTCAATGTCGCCTGGCCTTGCATGCAGCCAGTGCCCCGGCAGTGTCGTCTGCCGTGTGATACTGCGCAGGCGCCCACTCATTTCGCCGGCCTTCCTGATGCGGTAGAGCCGCCCTCCCTGCCAGAAAACGGGGCTTCTTGGGTTCTTGCTTGCTCGAGGTGCACGCGGCCCTCTGGCTGGACGCCACCCTCGACACAGAGCGGGCGGATGCGGTCCTGATTGGATCGGGCACTTGTTGTTCTCTCATCTCCAGTCGCATTCGTACCCCACGCACATGCCCGAGAGCGCAACCTTATTTCCACCCTGCCCGCACCGCATAGACCAATCATCTGCACCAAGAGAGACGTCGTATTGCACCCTTGCGGGATGATCCTTCTATCTGGCGTCAGACAGCGATCGTTTCCTGAATCGGGGGGGTTGCTGATAAGGCGTCATTTGACCGGCCTGGCTTCCTGGGTAGCATTCCATTGAGTTGTACGAGCTTCCAGAAAGACCCGAGGGAAGAAGAAATGAGCGCTTGGCCTTGGAATTGTTCTCCCGCCTTCGATCTGTTCTCGTATCTTGGTACCGGGGATACGATCGTGTCACCTCTCCGAGTCTGCCGCGCTGCCGCTGCGAGAACACACCACCACCGCCCATTCCCGTGCGTGCCTTGCGAGCCATCCAATCAGCGCTGCATATCGCAACCGTCGACACATCTAGAAGGAGCTGCAAGCTGCAACGCCTAGTTCGGTGAGTTGGTGCGTGGCCCGGCGTAACCTTGATGGTGTTTTGAACTGCCTCTTCCAGAATCCTGCAAGTATTGACGGCGGAGCGAACCTCGACGTTGAGTTCTGGGTGCCCCTTGTATGCTACCTGCCCTGAGAGGTATGGGCAAGTGAATGGCTGCCTCGTAAAGCACAGGACTTTGTGTAGCTCACGTTCTATTTTCTAGTCTTTGCGCTGCGATTGTCTCCATCTCCTACTTAGGTTTGATAAACAGCTGTTTAGTCATAGCGTTGAGATACAAGTAGCACCCGACGAGATGTGTTCAACTTTGACATAAAAGCTTGGAATGTTCATAAAAGAGAATGTGCTGTGATGCTCTGTCTCTAGGGGGAATGCTAAATCTCATGCGATATGTCGATGTCTTGTGTCTACATTCTATAAGCATAGATTCGTCCTTAGCATAGGGACGTTTTCCTCATACCTACCACAGCAGACCTGGGATAGAGGGTTTCGCGTCATATATTGAAGTATCCATAGAAAAGTTTATTCATAAGACATCATGACTTTAATGGAACGAGCGTTACATTCTCTTGTGAATACATATTGACTACTATGCGTCTGAAACCTTGGTAGATGATGCGGCGAAAAGTACTCTGGGAAGTGGGAGGGGCATGTCGACAACAGCAGGGCTGTCAGCGGGGCCGCGAGGACATGACAGAATCCTCGACGGTCTCTTGTTGGAGATGAGAGACGTAGCCTCTACTTGGTGGTAATCATGAAGGCAAGGGAACCTTATCTTCTACACCCGACCGCGTCTTGTGCCCAGTATTAGGCCTTGAACTCTTGAAGCATGCCACAAACAGAAAACGACGCGGTTCCTCGAAGTCTTAACTGGAGGGAGTGGAATCCCGCATCGAGAGGCAGTCCCCTGGTAATATTAAGCAGTATCTCTATGGGAAGCTTGTGCAGATAGCGAGTGTCGTCGCTGGGCCCTAGGGCTGTCGCTGTGCATTGTCCGGCGTCTGCCAGATTGACCAACCGTCGATCGTTCTCATAGATCGATATGAACTTTGAAGGGCGCGTCCACATTGCCGAGGGCTGGGTTACATGGAACCAAGGGAGGCACGTTATAGCGATGTTGGGTGGCTACTTTGCTGCCTCGGAGATCCTTGGTTGCGAATTGTCTTCTCGTGCCGCTCCGAAGGAGAACATGTTCATGCCAGTAATGATTAATACGACATGTCTGATCAAGACGCAGAACTAGCCGCCACTTTCCCATTACGTGGAACAAATCGCTAAGTAAATGGTAGAGGGAAAGACAAGGCATCGGTTTCAAGAATGGACAGCATGATCAGCACGGTGACTTTGTCATGCGACAATCACGGTTGATTCCCCAGTCGCCTCCCCAGGCTTTTAACCGATGTCCGGTGTGTTCACACCTCGCAGTTGCTCGTTCAGCTCATATTTTGCATGGCCCCTCGGCTCTTTTACTCTTGTGAAGACCAAGCTTGTCGAAGCCGCACGATATTTTGTCACACGTGACAGCTTGCATGTGGCTGAGGCCAGGCCGCGACGCGCGAGGACAGAAGCATGATTGAGGGGGAAGGCGAAGGCGTTTACTTCTTCCGCGTGAAGCGTGTTTGCCAAGTCTGTAAGTCTGTGTCGTTGTCCGAGCTAGGGAAAGCGGTGCCTCGTCACGACTCTGGTGTGCTGTCCTTAGTCCCGCCGCCGGTTCCCAGAGTCCCACCAAGTTTCTGGGCTTCACACGACGACTTCACATCACGACATCTCGCATCCATCTCCCAACTGTCCACCTGCCAATCACCCAGTTTCAACACTCTCAAGAGCTATCGGGCAGCGATCGATAGGACGGAGCAGGTGCATAAGAGGCCCATGGCGACATGAGCAACATGAGGGACACCGACCGAGAGCCACAGTCATTCCCCCAGTTCCCCCAGCTCCCGCCCGAGCTGCGGGCGCGGGTCTGGCGCCTCGCCCTCCGCCACCCGCGCATCCACCGCATCGGCCACCCGCGCCGCCTCGTCGCCGGGCCCACGCCCTCGCTGCGCGGATCCACGCAGCCGGCGCGCGCCGTGCTGGCCGCGTGCAGCGAGGCACATGTTGAGGGGCTCAAGGTCCTGCCGGACGCCATCCCGCTGCTGGCGATCGGGTCAGGAGGCAAGGGCCGCAAGGCGAGGCAGCGGCGCGGCCTGCTGCGCTACCGTGCGTCCCGGGACGTGATCTGCATTTCCGGCCTGGATGGCGAGGCGCTGGCGAACATGGGAAAGCAGGCGCGGGAGGCGGACAGGGGCGGGGGTATGTTGCAAGCGGAAGGGTTCGTCGCGCAGAGCGAGAAGATGGCGCCCGAGGAGTGGCTGTCCTGTCCGATGTCTGTGGTGGACGAGCGCGTGATAGATGTGCTGGGGAGGAAAGACGGGCCGCACTGGACGGGGTGTGTGCAGAACCTGGCGGTGGAGATGGACGGCTCGGAGGAGGTGATGACCAACTTTCTTATCGAGGGGAGCCTGAAAGCGGTTTGGTACGAGGGCGAGGAGGACGAGTACGAGGAGAACGAAGGCTATTTCATGCTTCCTCGGTTTTTTGCTTCGTTTTCTGCGCTCAGGCATGCATTTCTTGCATGCGTTGATACTTTTACCGCTACAGGGGAAGAGGAGAGGGACAATGACGAGGACGATGAGGACGACGACGACGACGACGACGACGACGACAGCGAGGAGGAGGACGCTTCATCGGAGACTGGCTCGGAAAGCAGCAATGACAGCGGCCCTGGTGATGTTTGGGCCAGGGTCGGTGGCATCTACTTTGGGGATGAGACTGCCGGGGACTGGTTCTGCTGGGCGAAGGACCTCGAGTGGCTGTCGAGGCTGCCGGCCTGGGAGCAGGTCTCGGATGATTACGAGGTGCATATAAATGAAACGAGCGAGCTGTGCACGGACATCGAGGTTGTGTTTGCCGGAGGGCCTATGGCGTGCAACATCTCGGTCGATCTCCAGGAGGGAGACCCGGAGCGGTTGACGGGGACGGAGATTCACGTTCTTGTACAGCTCAAGAGCAACGAGGAGCGCGACTCGTAGAGCCCAATGCTGACCCGAGCAAGTGGACGGACGGCCCGACAGTTACATCCGTGCTGGAAAATCGAACATTGCTACAATGCCTTGTTGTGTCTATCTATTATCATGAGATTGTATTCGTACCCAAACAGAGCTGCCGATCACACACCTAATCGGATGTCATTACCCCATGTCAGCCGCCGCCGTCCTCCCACTCACTCGCTCTTGTCGCCAGCCTCCTGCAGTGCCAGCGCCTCGTTCCAGACGCGCGACACGGCACCCCAGTACTGCTCCGGGTGCAGGCGCATGTGGCCGACGTGGGGGCTGCCCTCGAAGATCTCGGCGGTGACGTGGTAGCCCTTGGAGCGGGCCTCGGCCGCGTGCTCCTCTATATCGTACCAGGGGATCAGGTCGTCCTCCTTGGAGTAGAAGTAGGCGCGCGCGGCGGTCAGGGGCTCGCGGCGCGGGTCGTTGATGGAGCGGGAGGCGTAGGAGCCGGCGCCCTCGCGGCCGATGGCCAGCTCGTACAGGTGGTTGCCCCAGAAGAAGAGGTAGCAGAGGGCCCGGGTGAGGGCAGAGGGCCAGGGCAGGGCCGGGGCGAGGCCCATGGCCATGGCGCGGGCCCAGCGGCCGACGTTGTCGCGGAAGACGACGCCGCCGGGGGTCGAGTCGCAGAGCAGCAGGGCGTGGGGCATGTGGGCGCCGGGGCCGAACCTGTGCTCGTAGGCTTTGAGGGTGGCGGCGAAGAAGAGGCCGCCCGTGTTGGACATGACCTCGACAAGGAGGCGCTCGTCGGGGTCGACCTTGGCACCGCCGCTGAATATCTCGTCGACGACGGGCAGCATGTTGTCGGCCTTGTGCTCGAGGGAGCGGCGTATGGCCTCGCTCAAGGGCGAGAGCACCATGATGATCCTGGCGCGCGGGTAGAGGACGCGGAAGCCGGCAGTGTACTTGACGACGTGCTTGGCGAGGCCATCGCCCCAGCCGTAGAGCAGCACGGTGGTGGGATCCGTGGCGCCGCCGACGGGCGCGTCCGGAGCCGGCCGTTGGACGTAGATCTGGTTGGACAGAGCTTCAAAGCCCGGGACGGGTTTCGGGGTCGGAGACGGAGACGGCGCAGACATGTTTCCACGACGGCGAATGGACGATAGCAACGAGGCGAGCCAGCGCGTGAAAGAGACGAGTTTGGCCCAAGCAGTTGGCCGGATGGATTGCGGCGGCATCACGATTCACGATCCACCGGCGACAAGAAGCCGGACCGTCGCTTGAAGGATGGATCCGTTTATAAATAACACGCCATAGACATCGGCCGTGCCAGCCATGCTCGCCTCTCGATTAATGTCATTTCATGTGCTGACACTGACTCTCTCTCTCCCTCTCTCTCTCTCTCCATTTTTTTTTTTTTTCCCTCATCGCAAGCCCTTTACCTAAGAGACTAGGCCGCCATCGGCCGTCGCGGCTTCCTTCCCCCCCGCTGTTCGTTTTTGTTGGGGCGCGACTGCCCTGGGGCGCCCCAAAATTCAGAGCCCAAACCTCGGCTCGAAGTTTCCTCCTCTGTTTGATTAGTCACTTGCTCTGGCACATGTCAGAGGTTGGACGAAAAAGGGCAGGTCCATGGCGCATCAATGCACGCACCTACCTAATCTTCCTAATCTTAGGTTGATTATCTACATATGTACCTACCTTGGGTAGGTAAGTTGGTAAGGAGGTAAGGTACCTAGGTAGGGAGGTAGGTAGAGCACACGTGGTTTTGGCACCTGTCAAGCAAGCCCCTTGACAGATGCTTGAAAGCAATGACAGGTAGCACGGACAGTACCCGTGGACCTGGAAACCTTACATCTACAGGTAGGTACCTTACCTACTGTACCAACTGGACCTAGGTACCTAGGTAGGTAGGCAGGTACTTACAGGTGTCCATCTCCATGCGACAAACCGACAAAACCGACAACCTTCAACGCTCTCCACAGCAGGCAATATCGGGTGTGCCCAAGATACCAAGATACAGCGATGGATCACTCGTGCTCCAGCTAACGGTGCAAGATGGCCCCGGGATCCAGGTCGCCCCGCTGTTGTCTCTTTTTCACACCACATCTGCATCCCGTGTTCTGTGTCCCTGGTCCCCCTTCTCGACCATGTCTTCTCCGTCCTGAGCCTACCTAAACTTAGCACATCCTTCCTTGCATTCTTGTCCTTGTTTTCTCGTCTGATAACCTGGCTCCTCACGAGGTGGCCGATTTGCGAGGCGGGTCCGCCTGCTCGACATCGACCCGGATCGTCGTCGTCTGCACGATCGTCTTGGACCCGGTCTCGGCAATGATGGCCCTTTCCGAGTCGCTGTCGCCCCAGCTCGTGCCCTCCTCGCCCCCGCTGTTGTTTGCGCCGCCGCTGCAGGCCTTGCGCCCGTTGCGCACGGGGCCCATGATGAAGGTGTCGTTGCCGATGCCGCTGCCGCTGCCGCTGCCGTGCTCGTTGTCGAATTGCGAGTACTGGTTGCGATCTCGCCGCGACTGAGACAGTGGCACCAGCGTCCGGCTCGCCGGCTGCGACTTGTCGTACTCGCGCGACCGCGGCTTCTTGTTGCTGCCATAGCGCGATTCGCCGATGAGCTTGGGGGCCACGTGCCGCAGGAACTTGCGCAGCGTCGGCATCGACGCGCAGATGGTCATGAGGTTGCCTTCGACAAGCCTGCAATGAAGCAAGGGTCGCACAGCCCCTCAAGAGTCAGCATTTCCATCAATCGACACGTGTAGGTGAGACACGAAAGGAAGCGCGGCATGGGAGGGGGACACATGTCGGCAAGAGCGCAAGTCGCAACAACAAGGGGCAGCAGCAACTCACGTCCAGATGCTGGCCTGCGCCACGAGCCATGTAGCGTCCGGGTTGGTCAGGAGCTGCGGCAGGATCGCCTCCCGGACGATCGAGGTGATGACCGTCAGAGACCCCACGCCGAAAATGCCCACAAGGCCAATCTTTTGCCGCGTCGGGATCTGCAGCTTGATCACCATCGGGATGGGTAGGACGAAGAGGATCAAGTCGCTGATGATGTTGGTCGCCGCCGTGAGGATGTACAGAGTCGGTCGGTTCAGGCACGTTCCCTCGGTGATGTACGGATCCCAGTTCATCGAGATGGGCTTGCACGAAAAGATGAGGGGGGTGCAGATCCCCAGCGTATACATGGTGATGATGGCGATGGTCACCCAAATCGCGACACGGAACCATTTTTGCGGCGAGAGCCGGAGGTAAAAGATGAGCAGCGAGATCTTGATCATCGCCGTCGAGGCGTTGTAGAGCCATGCTGACGGGTAGACATCCTGGAGGCTCGTGAGCAGCTGCGTCCCTCCACGGGCAACAGGCTCTTCAAGAGTTCCGCCACTTACTATGAGATACTTGATGTACTTGTCAATGGGAAGCTCCCAGATGTGCACACCGCCGAGCCCGTGGGCACACATATCTACAAGTCAACCGCGTCAGAATAAGAATCGAGCATTCCTCGCCAGCCTGTCCCCTTGAATCCAAACTTACGAATGGTGAAACCCATGGATGCATATTGCAAAACCTAATGACCCAATACAAGATCAGCTATACTGTCGTGTTTGTAGAGAGGGAAAAGAAAAGCGAAGAGAAGAAAGAATGAAAGAATGAAAGAAGAAGCCCGAGCCCTGCAAGAGGCCTCGTCGGCGTGTGTAACGTACCACGGCCAGGAAGAGGAAGACTGCAATTTGCACCGTCAGTTATTGCCTTCTGGAAGACAATACAACTTACAGTCATCCCATTCCAGACCACCACCCAGCACTACCTTGGTGTAGATCCGTTGGGCCAGGAAGAGCACAGCCAATCCTATGCCAAATCCAGCAATAAACCAACAGTCGGGCACCCCGGTCCTTGGAGGGTTGTCGAAATCGACGACATAGCCCTCCGGGGGCGCCAGAAACGTCACCACCCCGTTTGGGTGGGTGTACATCCTCGACAGAACGCGCTGTCTATTCTTGGACCTCTCTCGATATAGGTATGCTGATATCCATGGGGACGTAGCAGGATCCGAGAAAAGGTCAAAGACAACAGAGGACGCTCGGCCTTTAACTTATGCAATGGCATCAGGGGGGGGTGGCGGCCACTGACCAACAACCCCTGAATCTAAAACCACAACGACCCGTCATGCCAGTGAGATAGTCGCTTTGTCTTCATGCCGTCTAAGGAATAGCGCTATCCAATCAGACGTCTTGAAACGCTTCCAACAGACGCTGCAACAACTTGGCCAAGCACCTCTTCAACGTTCCGGTAGCTAGCAGGTGGGAACTCTCGACAATCGTATCCTCTGCTTCTAGTAATGATCGCTTGCTTCGCCTTGGCAGTAGCCGCCTGGAAATGCGGCACAGTATGAGCTAATGACTACGTACAAGTATGGTTAATTCGGAAACTGGGTACTAATTAACCATGGAACAGACCAAAATGGGGGGTGGAATCCGGGGATCTACTCAGCCAGTGACTGGCAGTCAAGAACTTCCTAGGCCAAACAGGGAATCTCGACTTGGAGGATGAAAGAGGCGGGGGGGTTGCAACACTGCGGCTCGATGAAGATGGCACTTGATTGTTACACAGAGATTGCCGAACTTCCAACTGATCATATTGACCTCAACAGCCTTGATTCCATGGTCAAAATCTGGTGGTTTCTCCATGGCTGGTCCGGAGATTCTCCTCCCACTCGTGTCTGCCACTCTCATCCCCTGGCGCCCATACGATCTTGGCTTGTGGCTGCCCCTAGGAAATGAATTTCCATGATCTCCAGGCAGGCCCTGGTCCATGACTGCTCTAGTTTTTCAGCTCTTCCCCACAGATAACAACCTACATGCCTGCCATTCATGGAGCAGAGACTGACAGCGCGGTGGTATTCGTGGTTCTGAAAACTCTTCCAGCATTGCAGTGTATCCACTTATAATAGCAGGGAGAGCGGGGGAGGGCGCACGAGGATTGGTGTAGGGTTCTTCAGCCAGGTTTTAGACTCGAACTTGGGCTGCATGCCTGGTCCTACCAGAGGGGAATCCAAAAGAGACTGGCCTCCGAGCATATGCTAGGTCTCTCCTCGGCGTCTGGAACTGGACAGTGTGCAGCACAGGTTAGTTGGTCAACACCAGTAAGCCGGAGGTGAGTCGGCTTATGGTGCGCGAGAATGAGAACCCTCATCAAAGAACCCCTGAAGAATTACATGCCAAGACAGTTGACAGTGCTACTAAAAAGTTCGCTTCACTCTAGACTGGCTGCTCTTGTGGGGTATGACCTCGAGTATCATCTTGGCTTTCGCTAATGCCTCGCTGGGACCATACGGGCCTGGTGCACGCCTTGTTCGAGGTTGTTGCTGATCCTCACCAGATAGCTTCAGGGTTGAAACACAAACACTGCTTCTGAGGCTTGGCTAGTGTATTCTCCCATATTCGGTAGGTTCCATGATAGAAATTTACTCCAGGACTGGAAGATCCTTCAAAAGCATGGTCAAAGGTTCTGCCTAGACGAAGGGATTGAGCAACAAGGCATGGTTCAAGCGCGTCTCCGGCTTGTAGATTGTATATTCAACGCAATACATACTCAAGAGAGTCGTCCCCAGCCAACTTACACTCCTACACTCCTTATTCTTACTGCCTATGCCAGCCGAGCTCGAGACTACCGAGAGGTAGTGCACAGGAATATGGTAGCCAAATGCACAGGAATATGGTAGCCAAATGCACAGGAATACCCCGGCAGCACGTATATCAGGGCAGATGTTTGTGTTGGTGTGCATAACGAGACGCGGTTGTGCCGGGTTCTCCTCCATGTCTTTTCTTGTCAAGTTCTTGTCCCAGCTCTGTACCATGGCGGTGCCTTGAACCAGTGAGTTTTCATGATCAATAGACCGATTCGGATTGTGAGAGCAAGAATCATACCACAGCATGTGGAGAGAAGCATGCCCAGACCGAAGCAGCCCACAGGAGCACTTCACTAGACGAATACAAACGTTGTGCGAAGATGATCGACAGTTATAAGAATATCAAACCTGTCAGACTAGAAGTGCTCCAAGGCTGCCTTGTGAATGGAATCACAATGACGGAAGTGCGCATATGAGTTAGGACCAGTTGTAGTAGCTTGGAGATAATATGCAACAGTTCAACAGCGAGATCAATACCTCAATCAAGTTAGGATAATACCGTTGATGCATTCCTACATAATATTATACTTCCGATCCTTTTGTGTTTCTTGTTTACTCCGAGAGTGCAGGTGGAGAGAAGGTGTCAGTTGGCAAGTGCATATCTGAACGCACCTCAGCTTGCTGAGAAGTGGACGTGATCAGGCCGTTAGATAGCCGTCATCAATGTCCTGAGAGGACATGCCTACCTAGGTGGGTACGGAGTAGACGACCCATTGGCGGCTCTCGGTCGGATGATTGATGGAGGCCCAAAGGGATCGGGGCCGGGATCTAGCCCTGGAGCCGCTTGTCGGGAAGCCTTGGCCCCAATTTTAATGCGCATGGGTACCCGCGAAACCATTGAAACGAGCGCTGTGGCTGCCGGCGACGTGCTGCAGGTGTGCTGCCATGACTAAGTAGTGCGGCTTGCGTGGGCGACTAGGGAGATGGCGTTATTGCTGGCGCCCGCGCCGAGTGGAAAATTTGGCATGGTTGACGTGATTTCACGTGCTCAGCCTTATTAGCCGTCAGGCGGGCCAGATGAGACGAGGAAAGAGAGAAAGGCAAACAGCTGCATCTCGGAGCGCCGTACCGTACCAGACAGAGCGTGCGATACAGTCGTGATTGGCTCACAAGGAAAAGGCACAGAGACGAAGAGAAAGAAGGAAAAGCGTCTGGCTGTTCTCCCCCCTCGTCCCTCGTCCGTCCCGTCTCCCCTCTTAACGTGCTGCAAGATGGCTGTTGCTCGTGTCCGCGCTGCTGTCGTGGCCCCGGCATCCCTGACCAGGTCCGTCCTCACAATGGCCAAGCCCAGGCGAGGCTATGCTACCGTCACCTCCATCCCGGCCAAGGCCCACCACCGCATCGTCGTCGTCGGCGCAGGCAGTGCCGGTACCACTGTCGCCGCCCAGCTGGCGCGCTCCAACCTGCTCGACAAGCCTGACATTGCCATCCTTGACCCGGCCACGACTCATCACTACCAGGTAAGCTGGCGCTCAGCACGCCTCGAGAGATACCACAGACGCCCTCTTGGCTCTTGGCTTACACACCTCCCTCCTCCTTAGCCCGGATGGACCCTCGTCGGCACCGGTTTGAAGGGCCTTGCTGCAACCCAGCGGCCCCTGTCTTCGGTCATCCCCTCGGGCGTCAAGCACTACCCTCTCACCGTCGCCGCTTTTGACCCCGAGAACAACACCATCAAGACGTCCGAGGGTGTCGATGTGTCCTACGACTACCTAGTCGTCGCCCCGGGCCTCGAGACCAACTTTGCCGGCGTTGCAGGCCTCCAGGAGGCTCTGCAGGACCCCGAGGGCCCTGTCTCGTCCATCTACTCGGACAAGACGGTCGAGAAGGTCTGGAGAAATATCCAGGCCCTCAAGTCTGGCAACGCCATCTTCACCCAGCCTGCCGGCATCATCAAGTGTGCCGGCGCACCGCAAAAGGTCCTCTGGATGGCCCTGTCGCAGTGGCAGCGCGACGGCGTCCGGCCCAACATCGATGCTGCCTTCGCGACTGGCGCTGGCGGTACGTCAGAGACCACCCTTTAGCAGAAACACTGTGCTGTATACTGTGCTGTATCTTGTCGTCCACTGATAACAAGTCAATGAATGTAGCCATGTTTGCTGTGCCCAAGTACTCGCAAGCGCTCGAGTCGCTCCGCCAACAGCGCAACGTCGAGGGTCTTTTCCAGCACAACCTGACCGCCGTCGACGCCAAAACCAAGACGGCGACTTTTGTCAACCTGGCCGATGGTAACAAGAAGGTTGACCGGCCCTTTGACTTCTTGCACGTTGTGCCCCCGCAGAAGCCCTTCGAGTGGGTGGCCAAGTCTGCCTTGGGTAAGTGACCAGCCCGTCCCATCTGTTCTGTTCCTCTTTTATCTTCGCATTCGATGAGAAACGCCGCGCTAACGTCTTGGGCGCTCAGCTGACGAGGCTGGTTGGGTCGCTGTTGACAAGGCCACCACCCAGCATGTCAAGTAAGTCCCTCCCCGACACAAGATCTGCTACCACACATGATCATTGACATAGGAAAAGGTACCCCAACGTATTCTCACTTGGTGACGCATCTAGCCTCCCCAACAGCAAGACTGCTGCTGCCATCACCGCCCAAGCGCCCGTCCTCGTCCACAACCTGATCGCCTCCCTGTCCGGCAAGAACCAGGCACCCATGGCCGAGTATGACGGCTACGCCAGCTGCCCTCTTCTCACCGGCCACAACGAGCTCATGCTGTGTGAGTTCAAGTATGGCGGCGTGCCCAAGGAGACTTTCGCTGGCGTCTTTGGCGGCCAGGAGAAGCCGAGGAGAGTCTTCTATCACCTGAAGAAGGATTTCTTCGTAAGTCTTACATGCTTCCACTGCTCGGCCAGATTATGCAAACTGACCACAATCCGACTCAACAGCCCTACATTTACTGGAACAGCTTCGTCAAGGGCACTTGGTTTGGGCCCAAGGCGTATACGGCGCCCAAATACTAAAAGAAAAGCAGTAGAGTCTTCTACGTTGCATACAAGGAGTTCGGTCCACGGTCTTTTGCATAGAGCGTAATAGATTGTTTCATATTGATACCTCTCAAGTATTCACACCTACCACCGTCCTGCTGTGAGTGTATCCTCTGAAGGCAGAGGGTTCTTCAGGATTGGTCATGCCACCCACCTTACTCCGCCAGGCAGGTACTTGATCAATTCATCTCCCTTGCAGCGGGCCTGACACAAGGCAATGTGGCGTGACAGGGTTCTATTCGCTGATTACGCCCCCTTGGCATCGCTGACTTCGGGGACATGCTCTACCGTCGCCTCTACCTTCTCGGTCATCAACTCCTTGACGCCTTTGAGGAAGGCGACGGCCACGACAGCCAGCGCCACGAATGGGATGATGCTCGCCCAGGCGAGTCGGTACGCATGGGCATATTCCCACTTGCTCGCCTCTCCAGCCGCCGTCCAGACAGCTGCCGTGGCGCCGTCCACGCCGGCGAACTCGCCGGCCGCGAGAGCCTTGAGCAGCGCCGGCACGGATGCCGCCGGCAGTCCGGCGTCGAGAGCGGCCTGCGTGACGGCAGGCGCGTAGTGGGAGTCCAGGCGGCCCTTGATGATGGCGTCGAGGACGGCGGAGCCAAAGGCACCTCCGATGGCGCGCGCCGAGAAGGCCAGCCCCGTGGCTGTGGACAGGAATGCGTGCGGGGCGGTGAACTGCACGCAGGCGACCAGGAGCGTGAGGGGGCCGGACTGCCCGATGCCGGCGAGAACAGCGAAGACGATCTGCGGGGTGTTCCAGGACGGCCTGATGGTTGCGTAGCAGATGGAACTAGAGAGGGAAGCCAGCGTTAGCAAAAGTGGAAGAATCACCACAAGAAGCGAATACGTACACGACGAGAAAAATGACAAAGGTGACGACTAGAGGCGACCTGAGATCCTTGAAGCGAGTGGAATACCAGGTAATCGGTATGGACGCGACCATAGTCACTACCGTGTAGCTAAGCTGTCGAACAGAAATCCTCCACGAGTTTGTCTCGAACCCGAGGTTGAGGATGATCTGCGGCACAATCGAATTCACTGCGCTGTAAAAGATCCATCCCTCCACCGTAAAGGCGAAGACGGACAATGCAAAGTTTGCATTCTTTCGGAAGAAGACGTGCGCAACAAGTCCATCCGAACGGCCCTTCCATTCTGTTCCGCAGCATGTCAGTACGGCACAGAGAAGCTTTTCCAGTCCTCTCAACTGACTTACCATACAATGCAAACAGGACTAGCAGGCCGCATCCAATCCCAAGAGGTGCGGCCACATGGGGGTCTGACCATTTGTATGCCCCTCCAGCCCAGTTCAGGGCCAGTAGCATCAGTGTGGTGCTCGCCACAAAAAGCACAGACCCGATTGGATCACAGGCCCAGATGTATTCCTTGACGGTCATTCTCGGGAACTCTCTATTCTTTGGCGGCCAATAGAAGAGGAAGATGCCCAGGGACGTCAGTCCATGGAAGCCAGCTTGCATCCAAAAGATGTATCGCCAGCCGCCAGCATCTATGTTAGTGAGCGCACCGGCGCCGAGGGAACCAATCCTAAAACGCACGACATGTCAGCACGAAGACGGTAACTGCTGGCCAGGCACTTGGAGCAAAGGGGGGGGGGGGTTCCATACAGTCCACCAAGGGCGCCGGCTATGAAAGCAAGGCCGTTGGCCACAGCTCGGTATTTCAGGGGCAGAATCTCCGAGGGGATGGCTTGAACGATAGAGATGGTCGCCAGTGTCGTGCCGATGAGAATGCCACCCCCGATGAGCATACTCATGGAAGTCGCCTTGGCCGATATAACAGCACCTACGAAGGCAAGCAGCGGAGGCACGGCAGCCATGTACTTGCGGTCGAGGACATCAGACAGTCTGCCGACGAGAGGCGACAACACACTCTGCATAAGCAGCGGGCCCTGGATGATCCAGCCGGCGATGGCGCCGTCACCGAGGTCACGGACGATGAATGCAATAACCGACCCGGCAGCAACCACGACGAAAACCTGGGCGGTGATTCTGTTGAAGATGATCAGACTAGAACATTCTCTGTCTCTTTTAGTGGGGGTTTAGACTCACGCGAAGCAGGTGATCAACACCACAAGCTGGTGGGATCAGGTTAGCTAAACAAGAAAGGTCATCTCGTCGAATGAAAACGTACCCATGACCTCCAACTGAGGTCGATGTGTTCAGCATCGATGATTGCCTCCTGGTCAATGGGTATCACCTGAAGCTCTTCATGATGGTGGTGGTGGTGGTGGTGGTGAGGCTGATTCGTTGCTGGCTGGGTCTCGGGCACTTGTGCTGAAGGTGCGTGAGAAGCCGAAATCTTGTCGTCGTTGGATGCCATCCTTTCGCCTGCTGGTCCAGGGGTGGAAACAGAGTCGGTTGCAAGATTCGAAGTTGGGTACGAAGAGTTGTGCATGCGGCATCACCTCTATGTCCGAGACTTCAGGACAAAGCTGAACGGCCCAGTTATAAAGAATCGTCAGCAGTATTGATGGCAGAGCTACCAATGGACTGGAACCTGCCCCGAGGCTAAATGGGGGGAAACTGTTGGAGCTCACTACTACTCTTTACGGAGTAGGTCTTCCCCATTCCCCAGACCTCCGCACGAATGCCCCCGACGCGGGGACCGCAAGGCGCTAATATGTGGGCTTCATCTACTCATTGTCCTTTCGGCAGTTGTTAGTTAGCCCTAAACGGAACAGCGCTCAGACTCACAAGGTGTCATCTGCAGCACCCTCTGGTGCCAGCATTCTCCACTGAAGAGTTGATTGGGCCCATCTCGCCCTCGTTCTCTTCTCAAGATAAGCGATGTCAAGCCCAAGCACACCCACAGCACCTGATTAGTACCATTCTGCACACCGGGCGCGTTGCTTCGCATCAGACCGCGGGAAGTTACCGACTTGATATGGGCCTGCCCCTATGCAGTATGAAGTAGTAAACATTACAAGTCTTGTAGACACCACGGGAAAAGTGAAGTCTCAGAGTTAAGGGGGATGATTCACTAATTCGGGATCTGTCTCGAGTGGGCGACCCAGTACCCTATTCAGCTTCGCTTCATTCCACTAGCCCTGTGACACATCGCTGATTAATGATGACCCTGTCTCGTGTGGATCTATTGGGGAACTACTTGTACTGGGCATAGACACCTGAGTCGCATAATCAGGCGAGGAGGCGCCTTGGTTCGTCTTCTCCAGCGGCTTGGGGTCCGGTTGACCAGGAAAACCTCGGTAGTCAAACAGCGCCAGCACACCTCGATCCCTACTGCGGGCCACTACTAGAAAGACAGTCCCAGGCGATTTTAATCTTCCGCTCTCTCGATCCCGGCATTCCGGTTCCTCGCCAACTTGGCATGCACTAGATCTCCCGAGGTGAAGGCAAACGCCACGCAGTGATGCCGCGTGCTCCAATACCCCACAAACCCAGATCTAACCCCGCAAACGCAATGCTAGAGTTCGAGGTATCATCAGATCATGTCCGTGCTATCGTGGCACCCAGACTACTGTCTCTTCCCAGCCTCATCTGGAGCAATGCCCTACTACTACTACAGACACATTAGCCGCAAGCGTGCGAGGGGAAGGATACAGAACAAGAGCGCAAGGCCTGTTCCCTCTCCGACATGCCCGACCTCCAACCGCGAAAGGGTCCCCTGTCGCTTAACTAGTTTCTCTCCAAATCCAGATGGGGGTTCAGCTCTCGTTTCGCAAGTCTGCGGGTGCGCAGTCGCAAGGCCCTCGGCCTTCTTGAATGCCTGCTTCACACAGGCTTTGAATGTTGATTCTTGGTCGGGTCAATGGTTTCCGAGCAGTGTATCTGGCCGAACTTGTCGAGGCCAGAGTGCCATGCCTTCTTATCAGAGACGTCTAACAGGCAGCCAAACAGGCCTCCGGAATCAGCAATGCCGCTCGCGAGGCCGGCCAATCCCCCGTTGCAGCGTACCTCAGGTCAGCAGACTCTTGAGGCAGGAGTCGCTCTACCTGCCCTAGACTAGATGCGCAGCGTCCGTCATGAAGAGGAAGCGGCCGACACGCATTGACTTGGCCGGATGCTCCGCGGGCTGCATGAGCCATTCTTAACATATTTGAAGCTGCTAGCAAGTCGATACTCGCTGCGGTGGCTGTGGACAGACTGATCCGAAAAGGATCTGCTCGACGAATTCAACAACCACACTGTCGAAGCAGTGGTATATGAAGAAGCCACAGGTCGTCTTCGCTGTCAGCAAGGATCAGACCGTGCTCCTGGAGTCAACAATCCTGTAGCCAAAGTGTCCCCGCAGTCAAAGAGTAATGCTTACCAAGTAAGCAGTAATATCGGGTCACCAATAGACATACCAGGTTCAGACAATAATAGCACTCCGGGGCACCATTGGTGGAGAAAATGTATGCCCAGCCGTCGAGCAATACTTCACTCATCCAGGCAATGCTACCAACAGTTGTCGCGCCGTAGCTGAGGACGCGCGCGAAGGTTGACACCTTTTTCTGGTCATCCCCGTGGCCCTGGTGCATAATACCACCAAACTCTAAGCAAAAGGTTCGCCGATCCTTGGCAATGGGCGGTCTGCAGACGGGCGGGGACATGTGTGAGCGAATACACTGAACTTGCCGAACGTCACGTCGCATCTGCTACCCACGTGGATTTCGCCAGGTAGGTTTAATTGGACGACCAGTGGCCACAGAGCAGCCACAGACGCTTGCTGGATGGACGCAAAGAATACATCATTTCATCCCACCACCCCTTTCTCCCCGATTCAACTCTAAACAATAGACTCGCTGCTAGAATAGCTGAGCTAGGATCAGGACTCCTGGGAAATCGGGAAATCGAAAAATCGCAAACTGGGGGAAGAAATCCAGCGTCTATCTCCATCTTTCCCCCTCTTTGCTCCGTCAATGGGACTGCACACTGCTTTCAATGATGACCTCAAAGAGGTGGACGTGATCATCGCCGGAGGTGAGACCAAGACGCTGTCCTCTGGAACTATACATTTTGTCCATGCAACATACTGACGTCTGCTTTAGGTGGAACCTCCGGCTGCGTAATTGCCGGGCGGCTGGCCGAGGCGGATCCTGGGCTCTCTATTCTGCTTATCGAGGGTGGGAAAAACAACGAGATGCCTACCGTCTCGGTCCCTGCCCTCTTCCTCTCGCACATGCTGCCGGACAGCAAGACCAACATCTTCTACAAGGCCAGAAAGTCGAAACAAGTGGCCGACCGTGAGCTTGACGTCCTAGCAGGAGGCGTGCTCGGCGGTGGATCATCGACCAACTACATGATGTATAGTCGAGCCCAGCGCTCCGACCTGGACTCGTGGAACACCCCTGGCTGGTCGGCTGACGACCTGATACCATACATGCAAAAGGTAAGTTGACGCCCAGGCCCGTCACCAACACCGAAGCGCTTGACGGATGTGTCTGCCTGCTGATCCTGCCCCACGCGTTCAAGCTCGAGACCTACCATGGCCATGGGCCGAAGGAAGTTCACGGGTACGATGGGCCTATACACATCTCCAAAGGTACACACTATGCCACTCGTTTTCAAAACGACTTCATAGCGGCTGCAAATAAGCGCGGACTCCCGGAAGTTGAGGACCTCCAGCGCATGGACATGAACGACTGTGTGACAAGGGCGCTGCGATATATATCTCCCGATGGCGTTCGCTCGGATGCAGCATCGGCATATGTTCATCCAAAGCTCAAGGCCGGAACGCATCCGAAACTACACGTCCTCCTAGAGTCTCAGGTCATCCAGGTGCTTTTCGACCAAGACAAGAGAGCGACTGGCGTTGAGCTGAGGTCGAACCCGCTCTTCCATGATGAGATCACCATCAACACGGTCAAGGCTAGGAGGCTGGTTGTCCTCACTGCCGGCGCGATCTCGAGTCCGAGCATCCTTGAACGGTCCGGTGTTGGTGAAGCCAAAGTCCTCCAGCGTCTCGCCATCCCCGTTGTGGCAGATGTTCCGGGTGTGGGCCATGGCTACCAAGATCACCATTTAATCATGTACACATACAAGGCTGCCTTGAAGCCAGACGAGTCTTGGGACGGATTCATCAGTGGACGCCTCAATGTAGATCAGATGATCAAAGACAAGCACCCTATGCTCGGTTCGAATGCCCAGGATGTCGGCATCAGAATTCGCCCGTCAGATCAGGATGTAGCCACCCTTGGCCCCGCCTTCCAGATGATGTGGGATGAGCATTTCAGGGATATTCCCGACAGATCCTTGGCCTGTATGTCGGCCATTCCAGGGTAGGTGCTGCTTTGCTCCATATCAGAGATCGCAAACTGACCCCCTTACCAGGCTGGCGGATCAACGTAAGGGCTCAGATGGCCAGTACATGTCTTTATCGTGCTTCACCGTCCATCCCATGTCTCGAGGTTATGTGCACATCACGGGGCCAGGGATAGATGACCCGATAGACTTTGACACTGGCTATTTTGCCGGCGCAGGCAATCTTGACCTCAAGAAGCAGGTTTGGCTGTACAAAAAGCAACGCGAAATCTTTCGACGCATGCAGCTGTTCCGAGGAGAGTTGGCCTCCACTCATCCGCCCTTTCCGCCCGGGTCCAAATCGGCTTGCAAGGACTATACCGGGCCGCTTCCAGAAGACGTGGAAGATATTGAGTATTCAGCGGAGGATGACATGATCATTGAGCAATTCGTCCGTGAAAACGTTGGGACGACCTGGCACTCTCTCGGGACCTGCAAAATGGCACCGCGTGAAGACATGGGAGCCATTAATGCGAGTCTAAGCGTGCATGGTGTGAGGGGTCTCAAGGTGGCAGATCTGAGCATAGCACCGGGCAATGTTGGAGCCAACACGAACAACCTCGCCTTGACGGTGGGCGAGAAGGCGGCCGATATCTTTATCAAAGAACTCGGGCTCAAGAGGTAATCATGTAGCCGCCGTCTAGAATCCCGTGGTTGAATTAAATAGTGGATTCATTCCCAACGACACGACACACCCATCACCGCCGCAAGATCCCATTGCATGTCCATGTCTCCCTTGCGCCTTGAACCGAAAATGAATTCGGCCCCAATAGCCTCGCTCATCCAACGTAGTGGCCGTCTCTCAGCGCCTGTGTAGAGTCGCAATTGTCATCATAGTAGCTCCCTCTGACGAAGCTGGGTCTTGTTTCGTTGTTGTACGCAAGCCGAACTAGTGTATCCTGGTCTTCAATGTAGCGGGGCCATCCAAAATTGTCGGTCAGGGCATGCTCGGGGTCCTTTGTGAATTCGACGAAGACAGACTGCATGTAGACACTGATCTCGGCCTGAATCGTCGTGTCTGGCGCAAATGTGCTGGTGGTGCCAAATACCATGGCCACGTCGCCTACACAAAAAATGGAGACCAGTCAGCAAGAAGCCACAAGTCTCAGAACTTCATTAGACATCATAGAGGGTCTCTTCTCACTTCCGTGATAAGCATGCATCCATTGCAGAGGATTCTGGTTGGGCCACTCTCCAAAATAGCGATACCTCCAGATGGGAGACCCGATGACTTGCCTAGCCCTTCAACAGTAGTCAGCAAGGGTCGGCTCCAGATACTCTGCAAAGAAGAAGGCAAGGGCTTACTTGGCGGCTTTGGCAGCACGGCACACGAAAATGGTATCAGACAGGTTATCGATCACAGTTTGATTCGGCGGCACCATTGTCCTTGGGACCAGGCCCGCGTATTCGTTATCACAAGTACCTATTATTTGAGGCTGCTGGACGTCAGGGCTCGCTCTGTAGGAGGGAGGCAATGTAGGGTGAATGCGTACCAATTTGGAAAATCGCCCGCGGACTTGGATATCTGTGTAATTTGAGAATGTTGTTTGGTTGTCCCACTTGGGTAAAAAGGCCAGAGATTTTGCTGCCTTCGGGTCGTACGTTTGCAAGACATCGGCGATGTCCAACGGATCTGCCTGCTGCATGCACTCAAACTGTTCATCCTTGTCGCCGGAGGTGCAGTTGGCCTGGTTTGCCACGTAGGTGAAGTTGGAGTTGTCGTTGGGGTCGTTGGTGACCTCTCCTTGGCCGGACATCATAATGAAGCCCTTGACAAGCGGATCATGAGCCCTTGCATAATTGTACACGTCAACACAGGTGGCCCCTGCCGAATCGCCAAAAGAATCATCTGGTCAGGATTGCCGCCAAAGTAGTGGATATTCTGATATATCCACTTGACCACAGCTCGTACATCCAGAAAGCCGGGACTCAGCTGGCGTCCATCAAGAGCCTCGCCCCCCGGAAACCCAAATATGTTCACTCGATAGCTGAGTAATTCGTTAGAGGGCATTACCCAGATATCAGCGCTTGCGAAAAACGCACTTGATAGAGACGACAATGATGTCATCATGAGCCTCGACGATCACACTGCTCCATCCGCGCAAACGGGGAAAGGGGGGAGGCTATAGCACCAAGCCCCGACATCTAGTTGCCGTGGAGGGCCAGTCCCTCCACATCAGCCCGCGGTAGAAGAACTTGACACCAGCTGGATGCGGCAATTGATTGATATCGCCGAGTACACTTGCAGGTCCAGGAGGCACGAAGCAAGATATTTCACACGGATCGGAACCAGTGGTGAAGACACAGTCAGTACAGAGCATGAGGAAACAAGTTGGCCGGGAAAACGATTGACGACACGGATACCGCCATCAAATCTGCATGATTCCATAGTTCTTGACCCCAGATAGGCCTCCTTCAGCACATCGCTTCTGGCACTAAATCCGGACTGGCCCAGTTTCCCCGCGTCGAGGATTTACGGTCTGTACCTAAATGGCCCTGCCTTCCCCACAGATCGATGCTCGATGAATCAGTAGTCATCTCTGCGCGGCCCACCCTCATGTGCACCTGGCTGCATCGCCATGGAGGAAAGGCACGTTAGTCTCTTGAATCACCATGTCTTCTATATTTCAAAGACCTGAACGATGATACTCACGTCATTATGCTCTCTGCCTCTCGAAGTCTACGGTACAGGATACCCGACCCGGGTGCTGACACAACCAATGACAGCTTGGTCTTGCCCTGTGGTATAAGTTCTCCTTGCCGTCCGCTCCGTCGCCTTCAACAACTTGTTCAGGACAGTCGATCAGGCTCAATCTCTCTCCCTGCATCTGCAGCAAGCCAATATGATGCACTCGACCCTCATAGTCTTGGCAGCTCTCTGTCAGCCGCGGCTAGCTCTGACAGCCCTCCCCGGGAGCACAGATTGCGGTGCCATCGCCGGCTGTGATCTATTGGTCGAAACTTCACTCTTTACCGTCCAGGGTGCTGTATCTCCCGAGACGCCTAAGGTCCGCCAGTTCCTTGGCATCCCTTTTGCAGAAGCACCGGTACACGAATTGCGTTTCCGCCCCCCTGTCACTAAGAAGCCCACAAACGAGGTCATCAATGCGACAAGGTATGGGCCATACTGCATAGCGCACGGTCGCAAGAAACCACCAGCGAAGCCCTTCCAGCTGCCCGGGGGACAACAGCCGTCAGACCAAGTTCAGTCGGAGGATTGCCTAACCCTGGACATTTGGGCGCCCCGGGCAGCATGTGTAAGTGAACGGGTTGGAGCGCGTCGACCGGCGGTCGGCAGGCAGGCCGTAATGATCTGGATACACGGCGGGGCCCTGGTCAACGGGGCAAGCTCACCTCCAAATATGAGAGGCACCAAGGTAGATGTGTTGGGGTAGTGTCGATCAATTTATACTATAGCCCGATGCGAACGCTTGAAAGATGATGAGACACTGGGTGCCTGTTGGGAACCCTTGCCCCTGGTCTGCGGCTATTCAGCGTAGGCAGGCGAGTGCGGTCTTGGATGGCTTTGGTGTTGTTAGCAGTTTGAAGTGAGAGCGAACAAGATCAGGCCTCCGACAGGTGTGCTGGTATTAGAGGCAGTCAAGTCGCTTCATGCATGTTGCACCCAATCAGTCGAGTCGAGACACTGTGCTTGACTTCCTCGAGGGCTCGCCATCACCAAAGGAAAGCTTTTGAATTACCCTAAACGCTATGCAGAATTGCAATGCTACATAAAATGTTGAGTACAGACAGTGGCTGCGATATCGCCATTGTTTCTTTCAAAAAGAGCCAAAGTCAAGTGGCGCGAGGATCATGAACCGGGTTGTGAGCCCACAGGGCTCGCCATGAAACTAGTCAGGATGGTAATGACAGTAGTGTAGACCATGCCGACAACGCCGAGAACCATCATGGCGACGTCACCAGCCTTGGCCGCGCTCGACTCTGCAACCCCAATGTAATGCAGATAGGCTGGGTAAACATAGACCAGGGGCACGCAGGCAACCGAGCCAATCAATGCGACGAAGCGGTCGAGATTGGCAGAGCCACCGATGGAGACGGCTATGCAGACGGCCACGAGAAAAGCCCTGAACGAGTTCTTCTTCCACTTGGTGGCGAGATCCCGCTTGCCGGAGCGGTGGCCAAAGATGCGACCCTCGAGGATGCGCATGGCGGGGAACAGCTGGACAGGGTTCCCGATCAGCACGGCGAGGGCGTACATGAACTGCACCGCGTTGACCAGCTTGCTGTCCTGCGGGTAGTTGTTGATGACCTCGATCTGCGTGTCGGAGCCGAAGGTGGCGTACCCGAGCGCGCCGACAGAGGTGAAGATGCAGGTGATGAGCAGCATGACGGCGCCCAGGAGCCATTCGAACTTTTCCGGGTTCTGCATGGACGACTGGATGGGCAGGATGAGGCCGATGCCTTCAAAGGTGAAGATGCAAGCGCCGATGGTCAGGGTGTAAGCGTGCGGGTTGAAGAGTCGGACAGAGGGGTGCATGCCTTGGGTTGCCAGGGTGCCGACGTCGTAGTAGTAGATGTAGACGAGGCCGATGAGGATGAAGGCATCGGCAAGCAGCGCGGCAGGACCCAGCTTGGAGATGTTGCGGATGAAGGAGAGCGGAACGATGAGAACGGCCTGGATGGCGATGAGGGCGGTCGTGGTCAGCGGGCTGGCGCCGTGGGTGACTGCACGCAGAAACGACGACCAGTTGTCGGCCACAAATACCAGGCCGGTGCAGACGAAGCCGAGCTGGGAGAGCGTGACGGAACCGAGGATGATGGCGCGCATCCGCTCGCCGGCGATGGCCCGGCCGATGTCGCCGTAACCGCCGCCGTAGCGGGCCCTGCACTGGAGCAGGAGGTGGAAGGCGAGCATTGAGACGGCGGCTAGGAAGAGCATGGCCATGGACGAGAAGAGAATGCCGCCGTTGTTGAAGGCTTTGGGCAGAAACATGATGCCGGTGCCGATGAAGGCCTTGAGGAGGGTGAAGAAAGTCTTGGTGGTGCCGGCGTCGCCCTTCCTGGGCGCAGACCTCGAGGATCTGGACCGCGGCAGAAGGGGCCGCGTCTCGGTCGCCACCAGGCCTCGATCATGGTCGTCGACGTCGTGGTGGTCGCCATCCTCGTCATCCTCGATGGCCTCTTCGTCGTCCGAGTCGGCGAGGTCCTCGCCGGCAAAAGCGCCGTACAAAGCGAGAAACTCGACAAAGTTGCGGGTTACGGGGAGGTCGGCACCGCCGGTGAAGCCGTGGCGCTTCTGGAGGACGAACTGGCGGCGAAAGCCCTGGGGCTCGAGCTGGGCGGCGGTGGGTAGAACACCGTCGGGGGTGTCGTTGCCTCTGCGAGGGTGAGAGAAAGTCTGCGATCTTTGCGGGCCGGGGAGGCGGGCGTTGATCTTGAAGAGGCCACGGTGGATGTCGCCGCCCTGCAGCAGGAGAGAGGATTCTTGCTGCTGCTGGTTCTGCGGCTGCTCGGGCGCCGAGGTGAGGTCGGGCGCCGACTGGGACGCGCGCCGCTCCGGGCCTTCAGACCCAGCGTCGGCGGGTACTCCGCCGTCAAAATCCGCCGTGTACCCAGAGGGCAGGTGCGCTGCTACCACAGCGGCATGGCGCTCGTCATCCCGCTGTTGCTGATCGTCCAAGACGGCCGAGGAGAAGGACGACGGGGCGTGGAAGGACATGGCCGGTGGTGACGTAGGAGCAAAGAGAATGGGGAGAGGTAGAGGATCAACAGCCCATTGAGCACTGGATCGGATGTTCCATCCAGATCCAGTCCAGCCAGATAGATCCAGCAGCCGAGTTGGGATGCGCGCCTGTGAAGCGTGTGGTCAGGTGCCTTTACAACCCGAAGATGGGACAAAGACTTGAGAATTTGTGGGAGATGATTCGATTGGTCTGAGAAAATATCCAAGAATGAGGCGGAGAGAATGAATGGCTGGATCCATGGATTGAGTGGGGGTTGGGTGGGGGTGGGGGGCGCTGGCAGAGAGCGGCCCTCCAGCTGTCGCGCGTCTGCTGGAAATCCGCCTTAGTTGCATGCAGTGCATCGATGTGGAGACCACCCAGATGGATCATTGACGCAGCCCTGGAGGTTCATGGGTGCCGGAACAACTGTGGAGGGCCGCCCTACTTGTAGTGCCGTCCCATCCACATCGCCTGCCACAGATTCACCGCTCAGTCTTGGAAGTGTTTGTGGGCTTGAACGCTGCGTGTCCGGCTGGGTTGTCGCAGTGCCAGTCCTGGTTCTGTCCACGTGGAGCATCGGGTAGGCCAACGATGGCGTATATCCCGTGCCTCGAGCACTGCACAGAGAGGATACTACGTCAGCTGTTCCAACCTGCCCTCTGCCCGTCACTGTGCACCTGTCCGGAGCCACACTATATATCAATGGCCCTGTCTAGGTACTTAAACCTTTTCTCTTCGATAATCATACGGTTCATGTCATCCTTGAAGTGGCGGAAATTGGTCGGCAAGCCAAGGAAATCCAGGAATTCGGCATCCTTGTCAGTGAAGAAATATCCCAGAGACTTGTCAAGGAAGTAGTCTCACTTCTCCAGTCCCAGCACCCCCTGTGGAGCATGTCAAAACCGATGCTTCCGGCCCGGAAAGCCATTCATGGAGTTCTCCATCAATAACCACCGGCCGAGGCACGCCTAGGGCGGCGAATACGACTTAGCCATTGGCCTACAGTCAAGCAAGCACTTGGTTTGTCCTTTGTAATTAACCACTTCGGCACCCAGTCTGGTCAGCAAGCTATCTTACCCGTCTGATCGACCCATGATGACCGCTACATATAATTCGTGGTACGTTGTGTCCACATTCATTTGCCCTTGCCATCTAGCTTGAAGCTATCAACCATCTTATCAGCAGCTGATTCCTTGGCAATATCATAGCTGCCTCGAATAGAACATATTGGGCATGAGGGCGATTCTGAGCACCTGATCATGGAGGATACATTTGCTAATCCAAATGGGCCCTTAATTATCCAGCTATCTGCAATTTGGTTTGTTCCCAAGTCTCGATGCTAGCTTATATCCAAGGACTAAGCCGACGAGGCCCTTGCTGCCCTGATCAGGTATCACAGCGAGGAGGAAGAGACTCAGCTGGTGCTTGAATACAGCAAGATTCAGGCACCTATTGTTAGACCAGATTCTGGCTAGCATAGATATCTGGCTTATCTAAGCAAGTTGTATAAATATATAACTAAGTAGTGTTTCTATGAAATACACCTTATATCAAAGATATAAGATGTAAAGTCATACTAAACTTAATTTAGACTAGTTTCCTCTAGATATCTTCTATAACTAGTCTTCTTTAAAGAAAGAGAGAAGAATATAGAAATAGATATAATAAGCAGTCTAATAATTAAGAGTTTTAGTATTATAATTTAAAGAAAAAGTAGCTATAATTATTAATATAAGCTTTAAAAAGTAAAAATAAAAGTATTCTCTCTTAAAGGGTTTATAACTATAGTATAATTCTATAGTATTAGATTGATTGATTAATTAGAATCTTATATATAAGTTATTTAAATAGCTTTTATTAACTTTATTTAATTTATAACTCTATTAAAATAACTATTAATATAATAAAACTACTTCTATTTCTTCTTTCTTCTTTAAAGATACTTAACTATCTTCTTTAAATACTCTAGCTATAGTTAATATTTATTAATATAGAAGAGTTAGTTAAGATTTAGATTATTAGATATCTTCTTATTAAGAATATATAGACTTTTAAGTAGTTTTATTATATTAATAGTTTATAAAAGCTTATATTTAAAGACTAAAAGACTATAGATATTAATAATATTAATTTTATTAGTAATATTATAAAGTCTATTTAAATAGAGCTTAAAGAAAATAAATTCTTTAATCTTATTAAAGAGATATTTATTCTTCTTATTAGATATTATAAGAATAAGAAAGATTAATATCTTATTAATAGACTTAAGTATATAGATTAGGTTATTTAATAGAGAAGAGGCTTAAAAGTCTTAATAGAGAATATACTTAAGAGTCTTAATATAGATAAGTATAAGAGATAGACTTAAGAGAGTAGAAGAATAGATTATTTTATATATATTTAAAACAACCTCTTAGTAATAGCCTTAAATATATTAGAGCTTATAGGATGGATTACTTATTACTAAAGGACTGTTTATTATAATAATTTAATTATGTCTGTTATTATTAAGTAGGTGTAGCATTCTCTAAGACTTGTATGTCCGGCCTCACAAACTTGCACGTACAGACATCTAGACGAGTTGACTTATCAGCCGGCTATAGGCTGAACCATAGTCAAGAGGTCAAAAAGTCTGGGACCGATTCCAGACGTCAACTATAGTTAAGAGGTCTAAAAGTCCAGGACCGATTCCAGGCCTTGGACCCATATCAGAGACGGTCAGCAGCTGTCAGGCTTAAGGGCCTTTGTGGTTAGGAGACCGTGCTTGATCAATCCTATAGATAATAATAATTATATTCTTATTATTAGGTACTGTTATAGTATCTCTAGAATATAGGTATTATGTTTATTATGTCTCTTTTAACTATATTATATTAATAGTGTAACTTAGCTTGTATCTAATAGGTATATTAAAAATAAATAAAATAGATATATAAGTATATTATAAAAATAATAATCTATCTTTTAAATAGTTTAAATAATTAGAAAGAATTTAAAGAAATCTTTTCTTTAAAGCTTATTATTAAAAGAGTTATCTATTTAATTAATATTAATAATTTAAAGAACTTTTTAATAATCTATCTTTAAAAGTTAAGATAATTAAATTTAAAGAAATATAAAGCTAAGATTTAAATTAATAATTTAAAGTTTATTTATAAAGAAGAATCTATATTAAATCTAAGTTAATTTATATTTAAAGATTTCAAGACTTTAAAGATAGAATAATAAGAGTTTTAATATAATAAAAAGATCTATAAGAGAAAGATAAAAGAAATCTAAAAGATAATTAATTAGCTTAATAAAAAGATTACTTCTTATTATATAAAGACTTATAGTTCTAAATAGATAGACCTCTCTATAAATAAGAATCTTATAGAGTTCTTTTTAAATCTAAAGTAAATATATAGAATAGATAAATTTATTTAATATAAATAAGCTAGAGATTATTATTTTAAGATATTAAAATAGATTTTAAATCTTAAAGATAACTAAAAAGAATAGATTACTTTATAAAAAAAGATAATATAAATAGTAAAGTATATAAAAATAGATAAAGTAATTTAATTAATCTTATAATTCTCTAATCTTATTAAGTATCTTAAGAGATATTTCTAGATCTTTATAAGAGTTAAATAAAACTAATAGAGGAACTTAATTAATAATAATTAATATAAGCTAGCTATCTTTATAACTTATTTCTATTAGAAAATTATAAATATATCTATAATATCTAAAAGAAGTTAAATAAGAGATAGAGTAATAAAAAGAAGCTTTAAACTAATATTTTAAGATATAGAACTCTTAAATGATAAGTAAAATAAATTATTAAATCTAATAAGTAGATATAACCTCTTAAAATAAGTAAAGATTAATACTTCTATAAAGAAAAAGAGTTAAGAAGAGATTTATATTCTCTATAACTATTATTATATTATATTAAATATAATATCTTATTAAATAGTCTTTTTTAAGAATAAGCCTATCTAAATCACTTTTATTTAAATATAAACTAAAGACTAGAAATAAAGATTAAAGAAGAATCTAAAGATATAAGAGTTATATAAGAAGTTAAAGAAGTAAGATAGGAAGTCTAATAGTTAATTATATTAACTACTAATAAGTTAAGTTATAATATTATAGAAAGTAGTTATATTTCTTACTTTTAATCTTAAATACCTATTATAAAACTTAATAATTCTAAACTTTAAATCTATCTTATACCTATTTAATAAAATATTTTATTTCTATAACTATAAATATATATAATAATAAGAGAGGATATTTATAGATATAAATTACTTATCCATATTAAGATATAGAAAAGTAGTTCTAGAAGTAAGAAATTAGATAAATAAGCCTTATTTCTTAATCTAAAGTAATATAGTCTACTATCTATAGATTAGAACTAATCTTATATTATTTTAAAGGCTATAATAATTAGGATATTAATAGGATTAAAGAGATAGAAAGAATATTCTAAGATATAGTAATAGATAAGTTCTTTATAAGCTATTTAACTATTATAAGCAGTATATTCTAAAATACCTCTCTATTTTAATAAATCAAGCTATATTTATAATAAGATAACTATATTTCAACTTCTAAATAAGTAAAAAGCTAAGAAAAGTAGATATAGTAATCTAGTACTAATAACTAGGCTATCTAGAACTAAAGGCTTTAGAATACTTAATTAACTATATATATAGTATAAGAATTAAAGGCTCTTTAATAATTAAATATAATATCTATAGAATTAGAAAGATAAAATAGTAGAAGTATTATAAACTATAGAAATAAAGCTTAGAATCAGACTTCTAAGTATTAATTAACTTCTATAACTTTCTATCTAGAATCTATAAATTTATCTTATATATAGTAATTATAGATTAAATATCTAATTTTATATAAGACTATTACTTTAAGTAATATAATACTCTAAGTCTTCTCTTAATACTATAGAATTTTACTTAAATAATATAAATATAGTATTAAGTTAAGATATAAGTTATAGAAGTAAATAATAAGCTATAAAAGGCTAGTTTAATCAGTATATAGTTTAATTAAGCTAGAATTTAGATTAAAGAATCTATATTATAAACTTAATAATAGAATAGCTCTAGAGAATATATTAAGAGGATAGTAAAAGAGAAGGCTAGATTAATATAACTCTAAAGTAGCTTATCCTTAGAGTTATAGCTAAAACTAATATAAATAGCTATATATATATTTAATTACACCCTAAAGTATATACTTAAATAAAAGATATTATATAAGAAGTTTCTTTTAGTAATTCTAGACTTCTCTAAAGATAATCAATCTTATATTACTTATCTAAAGATTATTAGATATAAGATATTTATTAGAATAATAAATATCTAAGAAAAGTAATAATATCTAAAATTAAGATTAAATCTAAAGACTTAGATTAAATATCTAGTTAGATATAACTCTAGTAATATATTTTATATCTAGAATCTAGTTATAAACTAGATATATATAATAAGAGACATCCTCTTTAATAAATAAGACTTATCTAGTCTAAATAAAGCTTAAATAAAGAAAATAATTAATAAGTAAACTCTTAAGAGAATATAGAACCATCTATAATAAATTATATCAATATAATAGAGATTAGTAGATAAAGTCTTAATATTATTAAATAGATAAGATAAGCTTAAGATTCTAAATTTAAACCTTAGAGATATTATTTAGAACTTACTAATTAATATTAAGAATCTAAAGATAAAAGAGCAGTCTAATAAACTAAAATATATTAAGTCTTACTTTATACTCTTTCTAATACTATTAAAGTTATTAACTATAGTATTTCTAGTCTCTTTAATTAAAGAAAGAAGGTAAATACTAGATAAGATATAAGTACTACTATAAGAGATTAATATAGCTAATTAAGTATTCTATATAGAAATAATAACTTTATTAATCAGAAAGATAAATAGAAAGATTCTCTTTAAAGCTATATAATATTAAATAGGTTATAGAAAATCTAAACTATTAAAGAAGCCTAGGATATAAGAAATAAAGTCTATTTAAGATAAGAAATACTTTTATTAAAGATATCTATCTCTATTATCTA